TTCAAGCCCTACTCTGGCTTTTGCCAGGGGCCGCAATATAGGCAGGCCATATATATGGCCAAGTGTCTGAACGCGGTTTCTGCGACCTCTCCACCGCGATCCTCGTCCACATGGTGGCACTTTGTGTCATCGGGTGTTTATCGCTTGTGTGATGTCCTGGTGGGGTAGAAATTCAGTTCAGTTCAGAAACAAGGACAGACAGAGAAAAAAAAAACAATAACAAATTTAAGATCAGTTGCAACATAAAATCACCTGCTTTGTAATTCAGTGACCGTATCTTTGCGAAGCTTTAATTGGGCACCTTTCACTATTATTGTTCTCTTTTTTTAAGGGACAGTAACTTTATTCAAATATGTCAGCGAGTACCACATACATCTATTGTTGAATTGTTAAAGACAAAACATTGACTAGACACGGGTTAGTAAATTTAATTTCTAAGTAAGCTTGTGAACGTTATGTAACTTCAAAAATACAGGCAATTATTAATTTACGTAATATTAAGAAGGAGATAATAATACGATACACACATACATACACACTCACACGCACACACTAGATTTAAATGCCCGGGTACGCTCGGGATAGTGAAAGAAAGTCTTACTCTCCCGCCCTTTTACTCATCTTGGTCTCTACCGGTGCCCTTTATGCAGTCATAGTGTAAAAAGAGATATAACTAAAACGCCCTTTTTTTAATTGCACCGTCTTCTATTTCATCTTTGTCTCCACCGCTGCCGTATATTTTGTCATTGCCCCTAAGTGCACCCGATGTGACTAACATCAATTGTTAGTGATCTGGAACACAGACAAATATATTGTCCTGTGCTTTCAAGGAAGATAGCAGCAAAATATATTGAAATTTACCTGTTCAAACGAAGTAACGGGTAAAATATTCAAAGGGATATAAAGCCAGCAAAATTTTACTTTCACTAACTTTCGCAATAAATAAAGAAATGCCCAATAACCTGAGCCGCCAATGCGACGGTCAAATTAAAAATGTGTAGTCATCAAATAAAAATTTAACCCGTGTGTTGGTCAAGGTTTTGTATGTGTGTATATATATATGTGTGTGTGTGCGTGTGTGTGTGTATATGTATATATATATATATATATATATATATATATATATATATATACACACACACACACAAAGGGGGAAAGGCAATTGTTAGTTTCAATAAGGGCAGGAAATTAAATTACTTTTCGTAACTGTGAAAAAGGAAGGCAATTAAGTGTGCTTATCATATATATTGGACCCTGAAATATACAGAATGAAATGTATTGGTGCTCGTGGCAATATACATTCAATTAAATATGAGTTTAGAAAGATTTAAAAAAAAAACACAAAAAAAACGTGCAAGACCAGAATAAAAATGATTTTGAATTTTAAAAAGAGGCATGCAGTGTGAATTTATGACATATTAAAATTTGCGAAAACTTAAACATTTTAGAATTATCAGGAATTCATTTATTCAAAATATTTAACAGCAAACAACTGATATTTAAGTGAAAAATGTTTGTGAAAACAGTTACAAGTTAAGAAATAAATTGAAAAACAGATTCCATATTTTGCATTACCTTGTGGTTATAAACTGCTCGGATTTTAATATATTGCCAACTTCCTGTTATCAGATGAGGTGACCATTGCCTTTACTTCCTGGCTATGCCCTGTCCTTATCGCTGTGGAGTTTTTGGGGTAATGTACCTTCTTCTTCTTCTTCTTCTTCTTCTTCTTCACTTCCTCTTTTACCGCTGTGGGTGTCGAGGGAGATATAAGGTTCTGTTTCTAGCTCTTCTGGCTGCCACGACCATAGGCACATCGTACTGTTGTAGAGTTTCTCTGATGTTATCCTTCCATCTTGTTTTTGGTCTACCCCGTGCTCTACGTCCTTCTTCTCTTCCCATGTATGCTTTGTATGGTATGGTGTCACAAGGCATTCTCTCTAAGTGGGCAAACCATTTCACTTGCTGTCTTTGTGTGTAATCCAGAATCGGTTCTGTGCCGACTTGTTCTCTTATGATCTCATTTCTGATCTTATCTCTTATGGTCACTCCTACAGTACCTATATCTTTTAATGTGGAATTCTGCGGAATGTTCGGATCTGGGGAACTGTCTTGTGTCGTTCTTGTTAAATGACCAAACCATCTGACCTGCTATTATTTCAAATGCGTCTAGCGTAGATTCTGATCTCACACGCTTTATAATATTACCATCATTATCATCGCCATCATCATTGTCGTCATCATCATCGTTATCATCATAGCCACCATCATCTCTAGCATCACACCAGCACGGTTCTGTACTAAGGCTAACATCTTGACCTTGACCTGCAGTCAGGACTTTCTCCCTGAGTTGACTGCAGACGACTACAGAAGAAGTCAAAGACGTCACGTGATTTTACTTAGCATTCATAATGAGTGTTCTACTTTTTGCCGTAGTGGCAGTTTGGACACGAATGACGCAGGTTCGCTTCTTCTACAGTTCTTACTGAAGCAGCAAATGTCTGTTTGTTTCGTACCCTTCTGAGGACAACAAAAACCAACGTCTGCTTTTGTTGTTTGTTTGTGGTTTAACGAGGCATAATTTTACATTTGAAAGAAAAATCAATCAACAAGAGAATAGGAATGGCTAGAACTGTCTTCAGTAAGACGCGGAAAGTAGTTGACAGCTAGAGAGATGAACAACACATTAAAAATGAGAATCATCAGATGTTGTATTAAACTCAACCTTACAATTTAGTGCAGAAACAGGGACAATAAACAGGCAAATATTTTTTTATACTCAAAACTACAGTTTTGTGCAGAAACAGACAATAAACAGACACTAAACAGACAATAAACAGACACTAAACAGACACTAAACAGACACTAAACAGACACTAAACAGACAATAAACAGACACTAAACAGACAATAAACAGACACTAAACAGACAATAAACAGACACTAAACAGACAACTAGAAAATTAAAATGAATGTTGAGATATAGATGAATAGATCGTATTTCATTGAGAAATAAAATATGTCACATACAGAGATTTTGAGATACTCAGAGTAAGAAAGTTGGTGGTACCGAGAGCTGACCGTTCCGGAGCAATGGCAAACTACTCAAAGTAAAATTTTCCTAGGAAAAACCACAAAAGCCACACACACACACACACACACACGCGCGCGCGCGCTTACTCACACACAATCCTGGGATTGGTTCTGCAACGTCCTGTAACTTACACAACTAACTTTAACATCCATTTACGTTGTCTTTCAAATCCGCATCGAGCCGGGTTTTGTTAAAAATGACCTTGGCTCCCAGATCGACCCAGCTTAAAATAGGTAGCGGGAAAAGTCATGGGAAATAAAGGCGTCATGTGTGATGCTGACAACATCACCCACTGAATGCCATATAGAATATAGTTCCAGCTCTAACTACCCAACACGCGTGAAGACGTGGAGAAAGGTTCTTGACTTTACTGGCAACAAGTCTTAGATCCATTATATTGAGTTTCTGGAACCTTCAACTCATCTTGCTTGCTTGATTGTTGTACCCCATTAGGACATCACACAAGCGATAAACACCCGGTAACACAAAGTGCCGCCGTGCGGATGAGGATCACACACGGAGAGGTCTCAGAAACCCCTTTCAGCCGGTATGGCTACAAGATATTCATGGCCCCAGACAAAAGCCAGGGTGGGGCTTCAAAGAACGAAAAATGGCATCCCGCAAGGGGATAAGTTTGATATTTTTTTTTAATCTCAGTCTGGTAACCATCTTTTAATGTAGAGCCTATTTATACAAATACGATCTTAGGGAAGGGGGGGGGGGGGAACATAATTTGGTATTAGGATATGATTATTTCAGAGCTAACAAGCAAAAATTGTTTGATGACACACTGAGAAAGCAAGGTAGTGTGACAGATAAATTGGCTATAGAAAATGCAATAATATTACCAAAACTGTTTAGAAAGTGTTAACGCAAAAACATGCATAGTTTTGAAATTGTACACAGAACATTTACAAAGAAATTCGATTATAATTATAAATATATCATAATAAAACATTATCTTGAATTCGCATTTACAGTGTAACCTTATCATGGATGTAACAACTGACTAGAACAGCAATTAACCAGAGTCTAGGTTTGCATGGCACGAGTAATTGGAGTCCTCACCTGGACGCATTTTTGTAAACGTCTATGAATATATAACTATAGAACATATATAGAGGTATATATATGGAGTGTATATATATATATATATATATATATATATATATATATATATATATATATATATATATATATATATATATAATTACTACTGCGACTTCTTGTGAATATATAAAAGAAGAGAGCAATTTTGTACAAATAAAGTTGTAACACGTCTAGAGGTCGACCACGCAGGAGAGGATCACAGAAATATCAGACATTGAAAAGTAGTTTAGAGAAGAGAAAGGCCTGTTCCAGAGATCTCCTCCTGTCCTGACACAGTGAGGTATTCCAGGAGTAGAGAAAAGAAGAGGAAGAATGAATCAATAATTGATGTCAATGTTCCCGGGACATTCCCTTACGTGTTCCGACTCTTTCTTCAGTAAACAACAAAGAGTTAACAAACTAACGGTGTCAGGTACAATCTGATCGATCGATCAGTGTGTCCCCTCCTTCTCCTACCTAAATATTTACCATACCATATGAGATTTAAATAACTCAGTTTGGACGGCAAACTAACAACGCAGATTTCAGATACCCAGTTCAGCCTTCAAGGAAGTTACAATTACAACACCCTAGGGCTTACACTCTGTACATATAAAAGAGTAATGATGACGTCTTGAGAGAAACTGACTCACGAAGAGAACTGATTGCCTACATCAGAAAGAGACAATCTACATTCTTTGGTCATGTGATAAGGAGAAAACTGGAGTAAATTGTTACAATAGGAAAGTTGGAGGTGAGGAGAGGCAGAGGGAGACGGATATAAAAGCTAAAAAGTTTGACGTCATGGCATGGAATTTCATCTGTGTCAGGGTTGACTGAAAGTACACAATACAGAAGGTTGTGGATAGACATGACTACCACTGCCACACGGCTTGCACTTGGAGAAGAAGAACTACCACATCAGTCAGGTGTAACCTGCAGTCCCAAGCTGGCAAGAACTTGCAACATAATAAATTTATATGGACAAATATAACATTAGATGATGATAATTATTTACAAGAAAAATGTATAATCTATAAATACATAATGTGGAAATGCTATGTCATAACAAAAAAGGAAATTTATACTGTATATAGTATAAAAAAAAAATTACGAACATTGCCAGGAAGTGAAGAATCAAGACGTGGTAGTAAACAATTCATGTTATCTAGGGACCCATATGTACATACAAAACTATCACATCCTCTGCTGGGACCACAATTGTGTTCTTGTTAACCAAGTTTCAGTCCAAAGCCAGTTTTTGTAAACGAGGTTCCACTGTCACATATTATGTGCGTAAATGGTATATATAATAACTGTTAATATTATATAAAAGAGTGTATGTAAGATTGACGAAGCAGGAATTTACCCTTAACCCCCCCCCACCCCCCACCCCACCCCCCCCCCCCCCCCCCCCACCCCCCCCCCCCCGCCAAGAATTAATTTAGCTAGCAGATCGACCCCACCATAAATAGCTACCAGGTGAAGTCTTGAGAAATTAAGGCGGCCGGCGTGAGGTTGGGCATAATATCCACTGAGTGCCGATTGATCTATAAAATATACGCCTAGCGCTATTTCCCCATACCCCTGATGACGTGGAAAAGAGTCATTTATTTAATATGAAAACCGAAGTATGGACGGACCTTCAGTAAACACAAGGAAAACAATAGGTCCTTAAGAACTGTGCAATGTTTAGGACTGCCATCATGTACCATGCCCGTAGCATAGACGGTCATCGTTCGCAGTCTGGCATGATCACCAGAGTTGTGTATCATGTCTGTGTTCTCGCCTCACGTAAGCTTTTTGGTCAAGCTATCTAAGTACATATGCCTTTGTATTCTTTGCCTGTTAATATAAAGTTCATCATTTGTAACTGAGTTTACAACTTAATGCTTATTCATGTCAAGCTAGGGACCATCCTGACGTCTGATGTGCAAAAATATCTAAATTTTCGGGACCGGGTGTTGCTAATGAGCCAGTTCCTCCATCATGCTTATGTGACGTCAGATGTTTAAAGAGAGAATGCAGATGATTATTTAATACTGATGTTTCTTGATCTACTCGCACATCCTTACCTGTGTCGCCGGCCACGAATGAGTAGACTGGCAGATCCTCCTTGTAGGTCAGGTAGCCGTCGTCTTTACGCCACACCTCATCGTTGGAGTCACAGTTGCATAGGAAAGTTGGATCGGCGCAGGTGTGGTTCATCCCACAGGCACATCCCTGCGATCCCGGCTTGGCACCTCCAAAGTAATCGGCGAATACCCTCATCCTGCAAATAAATTATATTTATCAATATCACCAACTGCTGTCTCAGATTTGAAATTCTTCTTTCTTTTTAACGTTAGCCAGGCCCAAGGTTTTCAGGCAAACAGACGCGGGTTCGAAGTGGTAGTGATGCGGACTTAAAAGACAATAGGAATAAACTCCATAGGGGAGCATGTACAGAAGTAATCTCTCGTCGACAAACGTTTCGGCTCACGAGCTCCTAGACGTCTTCCAGGTCAACAAAGCCATACCTGGTAACCAGGGACAATTTCAGTTCTTTTCCTTTAACTTACCCCAAACGAAGGAAATCCGGAAATCCCCGGCAAAGTCCGGTATTCTAGGGATGTTATGACATGACTTCGTTCGACGTTCGTTGTTCATACAATGTGCGAACAAATGTGTGCACGGAGTGGACAAACTATGGAGAAATATTGTATGCATGAGAATTTATTCAAAAACTGCGCAACTTTGCTTGTGTGAACGACTGTGCAACTTTTTGTGTGTGAGCGAACGCTATGTGCAATCATCAGGGAAATAATAATGAGGGCTTTTGTGGAAAAGGGAGGGGGGAAGGGGGGTGGGGGGAGGTGGGTATAAAAGACCGACAGCCTCCAAGCTTGTATGCTGATGTAGGAAAACTCGTCCTACCTGATTACTGCGCCTTGTAAATACGCTCTCATCTATCTCGACAGAGTGAGTGAGTGAGTGAGTGAGTGAGTGAGTGGGTGAGTGAGTGAGTGAGTGGGTGGGTGGGTGGGTGGTTGGGTGGGTGAGTGAGTGAGTGAGTGGATGAGTGAGTGAGTGAGTGAGTGAGTGAGTGAGTGAGTGAGTGAGTGAGTGAGTGAGTGAGTGGGTGGGTGGGTGGGTGAGTGAGTGAGTGAGTGAGTGAGTGAGTGAGTGAGTGAGTGAGTGAGTGAGTGGAGTGAGTGAGTGAGTGAGTGAGTGAGTGAGTGAGTGGGTGGTGGGTGGGTGGGTGGGTGAGTGAGTGAGTGACAGTGAGTGAGTGAGTGAGTGAGTGAGTGAGTGAGTGAGTGAGTGAGTGAGTGAGTGAGTGAGTGAGTGAGTGAGTGAGTGAGTGAGTGAGTGAGTGAGTGAGTGAGTGGGTGGGTGAGTGAGTGAGTGAGTGAGTGAGTGAGTGAGTGAGTGAGTGAGTGAGTGAGTGAGTGAGTGAGTGAGTGAGTGAGTGAGTGAGTGAGTGAGTGAGTGAGTGAGTGAGTGAGTGAGTGAGTGAGTGAGTGAGTGAGAGAGAGTAACGATCAAACCATCCAGAACATCACAAAAAAAGCCGGTGACACAAATTGCCACCAATCGGATGAGGATCACCAGGAGACAGGTTCTGATAGCCCCCTTCAACCCATACGTTGGATTATATTAAGGCCCCCGCCAACAGCCAGGGTGGGGCTTTGAAACAACTACAAATTGCGTTAGACATTGGGACGTTCTGTACGTTTATCTGGATATAGGTCCTCGGATCACTGCAGGATTGACTAGCAGTGTGTTGGCACAAACCTCCCGTAGCTAACTGCTCCAGTCAACGGTTGCTTCCCCGACATCCCCAACTCTAACTGGAACAATGAGATGCTTGTGAACTTTTGAGACCAGGAGTATACGTAAAGAATGGCCTGTCTATCCCACACAGGTCAAGGAATACATGGGGAAGTCGCGAAGTAAGAACCACTTATAAACAGGCACAATAATGACGACAGACAAAAGAAACATTGAAAATAATGACATAAAACACACAAAAACGCACCAACCAACACATAACACCCCAAGAATAGTGGACTGTCCTGGGGATATAGGGATTTCCTTTGTTTGGGGTGAGTTAAAAAGGAAAAAAAAACTTCTAATGAAGACTAGAGATCTGACAGTGTCCACATTTCCCTATGAGTGAGAATTAGAACCACGCATATGATTCGTCTGTGATATGAAATACGACTTCTTTACCCTCAACGTATGATGACAATGATGAAGATGATGATGATGTTATGAACTGGGTCATCTTCGCGGCACTTTGAGCACACCCATGCGTGCGGAAATTCCCCCTTTAACATATACATCAGCCAGTCTTATGTTGGTTAAAACGACTTCTTTTCCGGTAGTCTCGTAGTCTGGTACTCGTACTTTCAGCTTCATAGAAAACGGGTCACCCCATCTTTGCTCGGCTCCTGTGCCAACGAAAAACTCACAGAATGTTTATCACAGTATTAGAATTGCAATTCTTTTCCGGTGTGCAACTCATGCCTGGCTGTACCGTTCTTTACTCCAAACTCTCGTATTCTTAGCAGTGATGTGAACACTCAACTTTTCTTTGTTCACCAGCTAGCAAGCTCCGGTGGAAAGTCCTGGTTGTTCGTCCATTTGGACTTCAGATTTGAGTCAGGGTCTGAGTTTTGCGTGTACATCCGTTTTCCTGTCTTATTTGTGTGCAGTTCGTTGTCCCTTGCCGCTCAGGCAGATACACTTCGACTTGGAAGGAAGACCCCAGGTAATCGACTCCTATGACATGCTTGTTGGCGAGACAGTGGATCTATACAATGGGACCCAGTGAGACATACAGCTCCTAAAATCCCCCAGTCGTTCCGTTTCTCTAAGGACATTAACAATGTCGAGCGATACAAGGGCCAATCAACTGCAACTAAGGCAGAAACAGCCAGTCTATCAGCTCTTGCATTGCCAGCAACACACAGATTCACATTGAAGTTTCACAGTGATTCAGTCCACTGTCTGCGTACCGAGCCAGTCTCGTCTCAGATCATGCTGACAGAATCACCCAACACACACACACACAAAAGGCGAATAGTCCTGTGACTCGAGTCCTATGAAAACTTGTGTCACCACCATCACTTCCATCGTCATGCATCTTGTATAATGATTATGCTGATGGTGACATAGGAGAAGAAAAAGAAAAAGAAGAAGAGGTAGAAGAAGGAAAAGAGCAAGGAGAAGAAAGAAGAGGGAATAACAACAAGAACACGAAGAATACAGAAGAACATATGGAATGTAAGTTTATTGGGCATAGGCTATAGGGCTCTACTTCAATTGTATAGACCAATCGGGCCTTGATGGGCGATGTGGTCAGTGTCCCGCCGGCCGCTTTTACCTTCCAGCGAGGAGAAGAAGATATACCTGTTCTTAAAGCCAGTCATCCGGTTGTTGTCCTTGGAGTTGTGCATGAGGGCAGCATAGCACTCCCAGCTGATGTACTGCTCACAGTGGCCAGACTGGTCAACTACTGATACGACATGCTCGAAGCTGCTGACATTGTAGGTGAGCACCCTCTCGAACTCCATGGCTCCTTCGTAGCCTTGCACCCTCAGTCGCTCCTCCTGATCGTGCCCTTGAAGAACCGAGAAGCAAAGTTTTCACATTTTTGTGTTCGACAACTGGGATACTGATGGCGGGGTAGTTGATATACTAGAGACCCAGTGTAAAGAATGAGTTATGTTGTTGTTGTTGTTGTTGTGTTGTTGTTAACACAGGCATCAGATGTCGGCCCCTGTCTCTCTTTAGTGTGTAGCGACGGGCTGTACGAGATGTAGAAGTGAATAATGTCTTTGTCTTTGCCCTCGGCCTTTTCATTATTCCTGTATATTATCATGATCTTAACAATGCCTCATTATAAATCATTATTATCATGATCATCATCAACATGATCATCCTCATCCTCATTATCATAATCATCATCATCATTTTCCTCTTCTTCTTTTCTTCTTCTTTTTCTTCTTCTTCTTCTTCTTCTTTTTCTTCTTCTTCTTCTTCTTCTTCTTCTTCTTCTTCTTCTTCTTCTTCTTCTTCTTCTTCTTTTTCTTTTTCTTCTTCTTTTTCTTCTTCTTTTCTTCTTCTTTTCTTCTTCTTTTTCTTCTTCTTCTTCTTCTTCTTCTTTTTCTTCTTCTTTTTCTTCTTCTGGTATAAAAAATGTATTCCTTACCTGCACAGGTTGCATCATTTGAAATAAATAATTATTAGATCTTAAATAATAAAGTTAAAATGACTGCCCCCCCCCCACCCCTCTCTCCCAAACCCTCATTTATGTGTGTTTAGGTGGGTGGGGGGTTGCTTTTCGTTAATTATGTTGAGTATCCTTCAGGAAAAGCTGCAAAACCAACCCCGGCATTTGCCGACTCTTTATTGGTTTTCTAGGCACTTTAACGTTCAGCAGTTTGCCATTCCACTGAACGGTCGACTTTCGACACCATTGTCGAAATCACTGCACGGTTGACTGTCGCCAAAAAGCAGCTGTTTGGATCGAACTCGTATTTGGGAATTAGACCCTACCTATCGCAACCCGTAACCACATCCGCCATCTTTGGCCATACACTTTCCAGAAGACTACAATAAAAATCGCAAACAGTAGGTTAGACCAGACAAACACCAGTGCTCTCACCTATAACTGTGACCCCGTATCCCCTTGTGAGAAACCATGTCACAGAAGACAGTGACGGGGTCCAGGCTGGACAGGTCGGGTCCATCAGGGTCGATCTGCGCATGGACGCTGTCAATAAAGCCCCTTTCTCCCAGCTCTGTGCACGAATGGGCTGCAAGATCAGCAAACATACAGTGCATCTGACCATGTACACAACTTTTGATATATCATAAATATAGCATATCTTCTGATGACCTAATCAATGACTTTGCAGTTAGATGTTGGAGTCCTATCTGAGGTTCGCATACAATTAGCAGGAAGACGAGAGATCAGAAGTCATCCGTGCAAAGAATTTGACGTAAGCTTAGGTGATGTTGTGCTGTTTTGAGGGGTGCCAGGATGAAATTGATTCTTGTGGATTGTTGCTTTATTTTAATGATATTAAAGTTTATGTGGCCTGTCACAAATCGCTATTGTTAGGTCTTCGAGATAGCTACACTTATGTTTCCTGCTGTTGGGCCCACTGTACCTAGGTGTTAAATCACACAGGCCTGCAAGTATTAGCAACACATTCATGGAGAGGACATTCAGGGGCATATCAGCGTAGGCACTCTAGACCTACATACTTGGTTGTTTCAAGATACTAGGAAGTTAAATAAACATTACGCGAATTATAATCAACAAACACATACTTTATTATTTCTTTTTTGATAATCTACACGGGGGGAATTTCATTAGTCACAATTCAAATGCGAATGGCAGAGTACTGAGATATGGGAGTAATAGCAACGTACAACAGGAGAAATAGCAGAGTACAGTTTAGGTGGGAACAGCAGAGTGCAAGCCCAGCTTGGGGGAATTCCTGCAGAGTGGGACTGGGGGAATCGCCTTAGTACAATATGGGAGAACAGCAGAATACAACACGGGGGAATAGCAGAGTACAATATGGGAGAATAGCAGAGTACAACATGGAGAAATAGCAGAGTACAATATGAGAGAACAGCAGAGTACAACACGGGGGAAAAGGCAGAGTACAAAATGGGGGAATAGCAGAGTACAGCACGGGGAAATAGCTGAGTACAACACAGGGGGAATCAAGAAAGAGAAAAACAGTTTTATTTTGTAACAGAGCTTTTTAGCGGATTATATTGTATAATTTCAGTGATTTTTTTCTGGCAAACACATACTTTATTATTTCTTTGTTGATAAACTACACGGCCATATATTTCCATTATCCTTCTATTTAAAATGCATAGCTTTGTAAACGTGTTCTGATATTATCTAATGTAATGAAACGACAAGGCTGCTGTGAATTATACAGCTTAGGTAGGGCACTGTCAAATCCAGCCTAGGTTGCCGACCTTCCCGACCGCCCGGGGGCTGGACCGTTCGGATCGCCTTAGACCGACCGACACGACCGACCGAACTAGGATCACCCGTAGGCCCAGCCGTGCAATGAGTACCAGAAAATGTATTGGTAGGAAAAACCTATCTTACTGATATAATAACTCATTGACCGACACCGAATAAAATAAAGTTGTTGACCGACCCGACCGAAAGAAAGACCGAAAAGAAAGACCGAAGAAAGAACCGACCGACCGACCGAAAGAAAGAAAGAAAGAAACCGAAAGAAAGAAACCGAAAGAACCGACCGAAAGACCGACCGACCGACCGACCGACCGAGAAAGAAAGACCGACCGAAAGACCGAACCGAGAAAGAAGAAAGACCGACGAAGACCGACAGAAAGAAAGAAAGAAAGAAAGAAAGAAAGAAAGAAAGAAAGAAAGAAAGAAAGAAAGAAAGAAACAAACAAACAAACAAATCAAACAAACAAAGAAAGGAAGAAAGGAAGAAAGAAAGACAGAAACCATACCGCTCACTGACTGCAGGAGTATCTTCTTAGGGTTAAAAGCGACAGAAGACAGTCGAAAAAAGACACAAAAAGACGCGTCAATACCCACCCAGCGGCAAACAATCAAATGTGTGACAGCTGACAGTCTCCTGCGCTTCACCAAGGCACGGTGCCGTCAGTTCCTTGTAAGAGTTCATGTCACAGACTCTGTTCCGGTGTCTGGTTCCCCCTCCACAAGTCACCGTACACAAGGTCCAAGAACTCCACGGGAACCATTCTCCCGGAACTTGAAGGAATACGAACAAAACAATTTTGTTATTGCTTACAACATATAATGGGAAGCGGGGTGGTTTCAAATGAAAATCATAAAGTGTGATACGGTAACCATATCATTGTCTAGTAACCTGCCAATGGTGTTGTTAAGGATGTAAAGATTGTTACCACGTGACATCACAGAGCAGACAAACCCAGTGATGTCATAATGACTGTTTAAAGATCCTCGCCCCACTGTTGACATGCACCAAACATGGGCAGGATTCTGTTATATGTTGTTGATTGTTTTTAATCTGTTTTTTTTTTTTTAAACTGCTTACGCCACAAAGCGTCGCGCGAGAAGTTAATCCTCGTTTCCAGTCATTTGCTAGCTGCATTTCTGTGGTCTCTCTTTTACACCATCCTCCCAGGTCTTTCTTGGTCGACCTCTTGCCTTGTGACCTGCAGTTCTTATGTAGTACGTTCTAGCTGCTGACTGATTTTGTTCCATTCTGAGCAGATGACTAAATCATTTGATTCTGCGATGTTATTTGAATCATTTATCGGTTCTGTGTGTAACTGTTCATTGTTCTTCATTGGTGACTATCTATCTGTTCTAGTTTTAACCCTCAAAATATCTTAGTACCCCAAGTATGTGGTGATGTATGCCTGTCAGTCCCCCAGTATGTGGTGATGTATGCCTGTCAGTCCCCCAGTATGTGGTGATGTATGCCTGTCAGTCCCCCCAGTATGTGGTGATGTATGCCTGTCAGTCCCCCTAGTATGTGGTGATGTATGCCTGTCAGTCCTCCCAGTATGTGGTGATGTATGCCTGTCAGTCCCCCTAGTATGTGGTGATGTATGCCTGTCAGTCCCCTAGTATGTGGTGATGTATGCCTGTCAGTCCTCCCAGTATGTGGTGATGTATGCCTGTCAGTCCCCCCAGTATGTGGTGATGTATGCCTGTCAGTCCTCCCAGTATGTGGTGATGTATGCCTGTCAGTCCCCCCAGTATGTGGTGATGTATGCCTGTCAGTCCTCCCAGTATGTGGTGATGTATGCCTGTCAGTCCCCCCAGTATGTGGTGATGTATGTCTGTCAGTCCCCCTAGTATGTGGTGATGTATGTCTGTCAGTCCCCCCAGTATGTGGTGATGTATGCCTGTCAGTCCCTCCAGTATGTGGTGATGTATGTCTGTTAGTCCCCCTAGTATGTGGTGATGTATGTCTGTTAGTCCCCCTAGTATGTGGTGATGTATGCCTGTCAGTCCCCCTAGTATGTGGTGATGTATGCCTGTCAGTCCCCCAAGTGTGTGGTGATGTATGCCTGTCAGTCCCCCTAGTATGTGGTGATGTATGTCTGTCAGTCCCCCTAGTATGTGGTGATGTATGTCTGTCAGTCCCTCCAGTATGTGGTGATGTATGCCTGTCAGTCCCCCTAGTATGTGGTGATGTATGTCTGTCAGTCCCTCCAGTATGTGGTGATGTATGTCTGTCAGTCCCCCTAGTATGTGGTGATGTATGTCTGTCAGTCCCTCCAGTATGTGGTGATGTATGCCTGTCAGTCCCCCCAGTATGTGGTGATGTATGTCTGTCAGTCCCCCCAGTATGTGGTGATGTATGTCTGTCAGTCCCTCCAGTATGTGGTGATGTATGCCTGTCAGTCCCCCTAGTATGTGGTGATGTATGCCGGTCAGTCCTCCCAGTATGTGGTGATGTATGCCTGTTAGTCCCCCCAGTATGTGGTGATGTATGTCTGTCAGTCCTCCCAGTATGTGGTGATGTATGTCTGTCAGTCCTCCCAGTGTGTGGTGATGTATGCCTGTCAGTCCCCCTAGTATGTGGTGATGTATGCCTGTCAGTCCTCCCAGTGTGTGGTGATGTATGTCTGTCAATCCCCCCAGTATGTGGTGATGTATGCCTGTCAGTCCCCCTAGTATGTGGTGATGTATGTCTGTCAGTCCTCCCAGTGTGTGGTGATGTATGCCTGTCAGTCCCCCTAGTATGTGGTGATGTATGCCTGTCAGTCCCCCTAGTATGTGGTGATGTATGCCGGTCAGTCCCCCTAGTATGTGGTGATGTATGTCTGTCAGTCCCCCTAGTGTGTGGTGATGTATGCCTGTCAGTCCCCCAAGTATGTGGTGATGTATGCCTGTCAGTCCCCCTAGTGTGTGGTGATGTATGCCTGTCAGTCCCCCCAGTATGTGGTGATGTATGTCTGTCAGTCCCCCCAGTGTGTGGTGATGTATGTCTGTCAGTCCCCCCAGTGTGTGGTGATGTATGTCTGTCAGTCCCCCCAGTATGTGGTGATGTATGTCTGTCAGTCCCCCAAGTATGTGGTGATGTATGCCTGTTAGTCCCCCAAGTATGTGGTGATGTATGTCTGTTAGTCCCCCTAGTATGTGGTGATGTATGCCTGTCAGTCCCCCCAGTATGTGGTGATGTATGTCTGTCAGTCCCCCAAGTATGTGGTGATGTATGTCTGTCAGTCCCCCAAGTATGTGGTGATGTATGCCTGTTAGTCCCCCCAGTATGTGGTGATGTATGTCTGTCAGTCCCCCCAGTATGTGGTGATGTATGTCTGTTAGTCCCCCTAGTATGTGGTGATGTATGTCTGTCAGTCCCCCAAGTATGTGGTGATGTATGCCTGTCAGTCCCCCAAGTATGTGGTGATGTATGTCTGTCAGTCCCCCAAGTATGTGGTGATGTATGTCTGTCAGTCCTCCAAGTATGTGGTGATGTATGTCTGTCAGTCCCCCTAGTATGTGGTGATGTATGCCTGTCAGTCCCCCAAGTATGTGGTGATGTATGTCTGTCAGTCCCCCCAGTATGTGGTGATGTATGCCTGTCAGTCCCCCTAGTATGTGGTGATGTATGTCTGTCAGTCCTCCCAGTATGTGGTGATGTATGCCTGTCAGTCCTCCCAGTATGTGGTGATGTATGCCTGTCAGTCCTCCCAGTATGTGGTGATGTATGCCTGTCAGTCCTCCCAGTATGTGGTGATGTATGCCTGTCAGTCCCCCAAGTATGTGGTGATGTATGCCTGTCAGTCCCCCAATATGTGGTGATGTATGCCTGTCAGTCCTCCCAGTATGTGGTGATGTATGCCTGTCAGTCCCCCTAGTATGTGGTGATGTATGCCTGTCAGTCCCCCAATATGTGGTGATGTATGCCTGTCAGTCCGCCCAGTATGTGGTGATGTATGCCTGTCAGTCCCCCCAGTATGTGGTGATGTATGCCTGTCAGTCCTCCCAGTATGTGGTGATGTATGCCTGTCAGTCCCCCTAGTATGTGGTGATGTATGCCTGTCAGTCCGCCTAGTATGTGGTGATGTATGCCTGTCAGTCCTCCCAGTATGTGGTGATGTATGCCGGTCAGTCCCCCCAGTATGTGGTGATGTGTGCCTGTCAGTCCCCCTAGTATGTGGTGATGTATGCCTGTCAGTCTCCCAAGTATGTGGTGATGTATGCCTGTCAGTCCCCCAGTATGTGGTGATGTATGCCAGTCAGTCCCCCCAGTATGTGGTGATGTGTGCCTGTCAGTCCCCCTAGTATGTGGTGATGTATGCCTGTCAGTCTCCCAAGTATGTGGTGATGTATGCCTGTCAGTCTCCCAAGTATGTGGTGATGTATGCCTGTCAGTCCCCCAGTATGTGGTGATGTATGCCTGTCAGTCCCCCCAGTATGTGGTGATGTATGCCTGTCAGTCCCCCCAGTATGTGGTGATGTATGCCTGTCAGTCCCCCTAGTATGTGGTGATGTATGCCTGTCAGTCCCCCCAGTATGTGGTGATGTATGCCTGTCAGTCCCCCTAGTATGTGGTGATGTATGCCTGTCAGTCCCCCCAGTATGTGGTGATGTATGCCTGTCAGTCCCCCCAGTATGTGGTGATGTATGCCTGTCAGTCTCCCAAGTATGTGGTGATGTATGCCTGTCAGTCCCCCTAGTGTGTGGTGATGTATGCCTGTCAGTCTCCCAAGTATGTGGTGATGTATGCCTGTCAGTCCCCCTAGTGTGTGGTGATGTATGCCTGTCAGTCTCCCAAGTATGTGGTGATGTATGCCTGTCAGTCCCCCTAGTATGTGGTGATGTATGCCTGTCAGTCCCCCCAGTATGTGGTGATGTATGCCTGTCAGTCCCCCTAGTGTGTGGTGATGTATGCCTGTCAGTCCCCCTAGTGTGTGGTGATGTATGCCTGTCAGTCCCCCCAGTATGTGGTGATGTATGCCTGTCAGTCCCCCCAGTATGTGGTGATGTATGCCTGTCAGTCCCCCTAGTGTGTGGTGATGTATGCCTGTCAGTCTCCCAAGTATGTGGTGATGTATGCCTGTCAGTCCCCCTAGTGTGTGGTGATGTATGCCTGTCAGTCTCCCAAGTATGTGGTGATGTATGCCTGTCAGTCCCCCTAGTGTGTGGTGATGTATGCCTGTCAGTCCCCCTAGTGTGTGGTGATGTATGCCTGTCAGTCCCCCCAGTATGTGGTGATGTATGCCGGTCAGTCGTCCCAGTATGTGGTGATGTATGCCTGTCAGTCCCCCAGTATGTGGTGATGTATGCCTGTCAGTCCCCCAGTATGTGGTGATGTATGCCTGTCAGTCCCCCAGTATGTGGTGATGTATGCCTGTCAGTCCCCCCAGTATGTGGTGATGTATGCCTGTCAGTCCCCCAGTATGTGGTGATGTATGCCTGTCAGTCCCCCAGTATGTGGTGATGTATGCCTGTCAGTCCCCCCAGTATGTGGTGATGTATGCCTGTCAGTCCTCCCAGTATGTGGTGATGTATGCCTGTCAGTCCCCCAGTATGTGGTGATGTATGCCTGTCAGTCCCCCCAGTATGTGGTGATGTATGCCGGTCAGTCCTCCCAGTATGTGGTGATGTATGCCTGTCAGTCCCCCCAGTATGTGGTGATGTATGCCTGTCAGTCACTGTGACGAGCTGGTCTGGACAGCTGTTTCTGTCCTTTTAAAGATTGCTTTGTTTAGATAATATTATTACCAAAGTTCTAAACATTTTCCTAGTGCTTTTAATTAGCATAAGAACGCTTAATTAATTAAGAAATTTTCTTACCTTTCACTTAATGCTTCATTGGAGCAAAATTATAATTAAATAGTTAAAAGTTAAAAAGTGAATGGCGATTGGGTAGTGAAAAGGGTAACGAAGAGTAACTTCCCCCTTGGTAGGACTCTCCACTTCCATTTTCATTCCAGGCACCGTTGGGGGAGTCAAGATTTTGTTCTCCCCAATTGACACAGTTCAGTTAGTTCTGTTGTCTTGTTGCCCGTGTTTGAATTCCCTACCAGGGGTGAGTTTATAATAATTAGTGTAATTTGAGCCATTGATATTATTCCTCTGAATTATTTTCACAGGCTGAATTCTGAAATTTGATGCCCACATGGCTTAAAAACCATGATCAATTTCTTTATCCTTACTAACCACGTTTATGATCTAGTATGTACATGTATGCAAACATATGATCTATTTGATGATTTAATTAATGTTTATTTGCTACTAGAAACGTGCATTGGTATTTTCAATTATTATACTTATCTTAATTAAGTGATAATTATGTCCTCATGTGAAATCTCGGCCAGTTCCGGTTTCCAGCATGGTGGGACAATTAAAAAGGAATGAAGTGTATATTCATTATACCTAATCCCTTCTAAGTTAAATTTTTACCTCATGGTGATATTTGCTTAATAAATCACTGTCTTGCTTTAATTTAGATTTAGTCCAGATAATTCTGAGACTAGTTTAAGAGCTTGGAAAGTGAATAACACAGTGAGGCTGAATTTAATATTCACACTGTCAGAAAAGAAGAAGAAAGATGTATGGCCCATGCTTGTAATTATTATTGTTGTAGATATATTTCCCTATTACTAGGAATACATTTCAGTTCTACAGCAGGTGGCCTTACAAAATGTAATAATTATATTTCACCCCTCACCACTTCTAAACTCTGCTGAATAGGATTAGCACATGTGTGGATTTAGATTTAAACTGGAGTGAGTGTTGTATATTTTATGTTAATACTGTGACAGATGGAAAGCCCATTGTCAACTATGATTGTATTTTGACATTTATCCCAGCACCCAGTATATTGATGGAGATATGTCAATCCCATTTATTTTCAAACAGTGTAAAGCACCTGTTATGAGTTCCTGGTCTTGGTAAACTCACTCCCTGCTTCTCATTCATTGTGATGTGAACCCATGTGGTTAAAATGAGAATATTGTGAAATATGACTATGTCTGTGTGTGTAAGCATGTTAACCCTTTAAAGGAGTACTAGTGTGCAGACATCAGAACAATTTACACTGAGGAATGTCATTTCTTTTTGTGTGATGTAAACTCTTGTTCTTGAGAGCTTTCATGAAACTGGTTTCCTAAATATTTCCCCATCAGGATTATGGACCATGTTCTGTACACATTCCCATTCTATACCAGTAGAATGTGAACACCTGTTACTATCCTACTCCATATATATGTGTGTAGTGTAACAGTTTAAAGACTGGAGGTATTGTTGTCTCCAGTTAGAACCTTCCTGACTGTTTGTATAAGGACTGTTCTATTGTTCTAGTTCCAGATTGTAGTCCAGGTGGAAGATCCATAAGTAAATCCATAAGTAGCTGCAGATGCCCGATTGTCTGGACTGGACTGGAAGATTCGGCCTGCCGGATGTGTCACCGAGGCTTAGCCAGAAGCTGACCTAAGCTACAGCTAAGTGGGAACATCTGTTGCTTTCCCAATCCATAATTTTATCCACAGCCATTTAGTTATCATTTGAATTTATATTGAATTGAAAATCCTAATAAATGTTAGTTTTAATGTTCCTACAGTTTTATGAAGTTTCATTTTCACCGAAAAAAAAAAGAACAAAGGTAGAAAGTAAACTGTATGAACTTCTGAATGAACTAAAATGGCTGAGATTTATAGGATGGAAAAATTGCAGACACAAACAACTTCTTCCAGGCGACGGAGAGAAGAAAAAACAAAGGATAGGGTGTAGGGGAGTCGTTTCAACAATCAAAACTAATACTGCAGGGATAGTCTATGGAGCCAATTATTTATTTATTTACTTATTAATTTATTTATAAATGATGAGGCTAACTCACTTTCACAAGAGATTTCCCCACACGTCAGGAACTCCGATGATACTCCAACACAGGGAAGTCCTCCGTACTGAGGTTCTTGGCATGTCCTGGTCCTCCTCTGATGTCCTCCACCACACGTCACATTACAAGCCGACCATGGGGACCAGTTTAACCAGAAGCCATCCACTGTCAAACAGTAGAAGCAACAATCAGACAGTACACGTAGAGCGGCAAAAGTTACAATCAGACATTGCACATAGGGCATCAAAAGTTACAATCAGACATTGCATACAGGGCATCAAAAATAACAATCTGACTTGTACACAAAACAACCAGCAAACAGTCAAGCCCTGCACCCTAAACAGAAACGATAGATAATAAAGAGCTAGTCACTTTCGACTCACAGCTGCGTGACTGGAATAGTGATATAGCTAAAACGATTCCCTCACACAATGAGGCACATTGGGTGTGTGACGCTGCTTATATTTAAAGATTAGCATGGAGGAAGTTGTCAATATCTTATTGCCACTTTTTACTTCACACACAAAAATTTCCCTATTCCGGCTCAACAAATTCTCGTCTTAATAAGTGGTCTTTGATGGCGTGTTCGCTACAGGACGATGGGCCTGTTCTTTTTCACCAAATCCGCGGTTCAAGTAAGCACATGGAGAAAGCACGGAATGAATGCCTGTATCTGTTTGATTCAAATCCTTGCCCCTAGGAAGAACCAAACACACAGTCACCTGGCTGGGATGCAAGTGTACTACAACTGCGCTACTTCGTCAGTTCCATTTACAGTCTCAGTCTCAAGACCAAGAATGGGGGAGCAGTTGGTCAAGACACCACGAACAGCATCATCATCATCCGGCTGTGACATCCATACTTCACATGAAGCTCACCGTCTGTTTCACTATTAAAAGATATTGACTGGATTCCAGTCAGTAACCTTTGACCTCTTTCAGCGACTTTCATCTTAGATCTTCTTTTCCTCAGTTCACTTAATTAACATTTTAGTGCATATTTAGTATCTGCCCAGGTCTGCTCATGATGTACCCTAGTGGCGAGACATGATCAGTTCGCATGTGTACGTGCTAACCATTAAGCTGGAGACACTGCGTTTCAACTAGCACTGTAGTATTATTAACTGGTAGCTGTCACCCATTAGAGCTTCTGCATGAGAGAGTAAGATTGTAGCAAGTGTTCGTAAGCCGAGTGGCGCATTTGTAATAAATCAAGTGAAAGACACTTTTCTACGCCTTGAGGCGGATTGGGCATATAGGGTTAGACCTATGTTTTATAGACAAGTCTGCACTCGGTGTGTGACGTGGTCAGCATTACCCCGGCCCCTTTCATTCTCATGACTGTGCCTGGTGCCCATTTAGGGCTGGGTCGACCTGGGAGCAAAGGTCAATTGCGAAAAGAATTAAAAGTTCGGTTCCGTGAGGACTCGACCCCACGACCTTCTGCTCCGCAAGTAGCTTCTAGCTGCTACACCATCGGGCTCTGCTGCAATAAATAGAAAAGAGTAAGAACAAGTTGTAGAACCGTACATTTTTCTTTGGCAAATGAAAGTTTGAGCGTCGACAGCTTTCGTAATATATATGCTTGGTCCCTGGTTTGCTCAATTTGTAGGTCACCTTAAATAGTATATAAGATACTCGTCAATCACAACAGTTTAGTAGGCACTTACCCGGACAGTGGTGAGTGTTGCAAGCCTGCACCGCACTTGCTGGTCCCTGACAGTCCGTGCCTCCAAACAAGGGCGGTGTACAGGTTCGATGTCTCTGCTGGCTCCCGCTTCCACAGCTCAGTGTACAGGGGCTCCACTCGCTCCACTCGCTGTAGTAACCATCAACTACAAAACAAGTTCAATGTCATCAATTAACTAACAAGGAAGTTCATTATAATGAATTCAGTGAGAAATGTGATTGGGGTTCTGAGCACTGAGCTGAATTAACTATGCTGCTTCCAGAAAGTGTTCTCTAGCCTGGTCTTGGGGGAGGGGAGCTGGGAAAAGGGGGGGGGGGGTTGAATGGCTGTCAAGTAATTTTCAAAGTGAACGCGATCTGCTTGTCATAATCCGCTATACTAATACAATGTTTTATTTTAATGATAAACTATATATTTCTTAAACTATTTATTAAGCAAAACGAGCAGGAAATTTTTGTTTTCAAGGGCAGTTCGTACATTTGCCATTAAACGTCTAATTAATATGATAATACGTGGATTTATTTATAGATTAAGAACACAATCTGACCAAAACGTATCTCCATACTTTCTATTTCTCTTGCTGCGAAATCTACTGTCCTGTTCTTTTTAATCACATATTGTTACGTGGGGTTGGGGGTGTGGGGATCTTGTCATATACTCAGAGGGGGAGGGGTGGTTCTTGTGGCCTAATAATACAGCATGTGAAATTGCTGCCCAGGTTGCAGCTGCTATACAGGCTGGAGAGCTACTTTATGATAAAGTGGATGTGATGAAAGCATTCTCGAAGCAAGTGACAGTGCATCGGCATAGAGTATCTTTACCTCGTAAAACGGATTAGGCTGGGAATACGCAGAAGGTCTGGCGGTTTCTAACGCACAGAGGACAGGACATGCAGACTTTTATTCTGGTTGCAACAGCCGCTGTCAGTACGGAACTCTGACCAGCAAGAGAAGGGTCAGTACGGAACTCTGACCAGCAAGAGAAGGGTGAGTACGGAACTCTGACCAGCGAGAGAAGGGTCAGTACGGAACTCTGACCAGCGAGAGAAGGGTCAGTACGTGTATGGGAAAACCCTGAAACGCGCCATACCTATTTTTTGTGCATTCGTTCATGCATTTCTTCAAGAACGCGTTAACAAGTTTTCGTGATATAACAGATTGTGGTCAACGCGAGAAAAGGATCAACAAGCAAATACTAACAACACAAATAGTTGTAACTATGTGTGAATATAGATCTAACTATATATATTAGAAGATCTAACGGCCTCTCAAAAACAATACTGCAGTGCTCAGTAGAGGGAAAGAAGAGAAGAGGCAGACCAAGAAAGACCTGGTTACAGAACCTGACTGACTGGACACGCCTCAGGCATGCAACCAAGTCCATCACAACTAACCGCCAAAGGTGGAGAGAGCTGATCAGACAGTCAACATAAACTGGTGACCCAACAACACGTAGTGTTACAGGATGATGATGATGATGATGATGATGATGATGATGATGATGATGATGATGATGATGATGATGATATGTGAATATATCTTAGGGAACCAGTAAAGATATGGAACTAAAGTAAAATGCTTTAGAAAACAAATGAGTGTGGAACATGATGAAAATAGAATGTTAAGAATTCAGAAGCAGTGACAAAATAGGGTAAATGTCTGAGCAACCACTGGTAGCAACAGTTGTAAGACAGAGAAGATGACTCTTTACTGAACACTTTCTGAGAAGAGATGAAAGCACAATCCCAAAATAGGCAATGAAATAAGAAATAAAGGGATTGCGGAAACAGGAATGTCCAAGGGAAACCCTAAGGTGAACGTTGATGTGAGAGGCTAAAGCTGCTAGACTAGATTGCGTCTATGATATCGAAGTGATTGCAAAGGATAGATCGGAATGGAGGGGATAGACTGCGGGCCTGATAGTACAGATGATGGCACAACAGGGCAATGAATGAGTAAACACACACACACACACAAATAATATATTATTAACCTCTTAAGAAAATAAGCAACACATTAAAACTGATTGCATCTCTTGCCCACTATCTTTCCCTCTGTAATGATAAGCGAAGAAGAAAACAAGAATCCCACTCACTTGGACACGGTTGCTCGTTACATTTCTGTGTTTCGTTGAAGCTTCCCTGACAATTTCTGCCACCGTGATATGGGCCAATGCAGGACCGGGTTCTCACTTGTGTGCCTGCCCCACACGTGAGAGTACATGTTGTCCATGTTGTCCACTCGCCGAAGACACCGTCCACTGGTCAACAGACGAGAGAGGTCAGGTAAAGATACATGTGGTCCAGTGACAGATAGTAGTAGAAGTAGTGGAGTTGTTGCTGTTGTTATGATAATAGCAGTTATAGTTGTAGTAATAGTAGTAACAACAGCAGCAGCTGTAGCAGTAGTGGAGTTGTTGCTGTTGTTATAATAATACCAGTTATAGTTGTAGTAATAGTAGTAACAACAGCAGCAGCTGTAGCGGTGGTGGTAATAGCAGTAGTGCCCTAGTTGCGATAGAAGTAACTGTTGTATTATTAGTATTAGTAGAAGTAGTAGTAGCAGAAGCATAGCAGTAGTAGTAATAGTAGTCGTAGTATGTATAGTAGTAGTAGTAGTAGTATAAGTAGTAGTAGTAGTAGTAGTAGTAGAAATAGTAGTTGTTGTTGTTTTAGTAGTATTTGTAGTAGTAGTAGTAGTAGTAGTAGTAGTAGTAGTAGTAGTAGTAGTAGTAGTAGTAGTAGTAGTAGTAGAAGAAGTAGTAGTAGTAGTAGTAGAAATAGTAGTTGTTGTTGTTTTAGTAGTATTTGTAGTAGTAGTAGTAGTAGTAGTAGTAGTAGTAGTAGTAGTAGTAGTAGTAGTAGTAGTAGTAGTAGTAGTAGTAGTAGTAGTAGTAGTAGTAGCAGCAGCAATTATTGTTGTTGTTGTATCAGTTGTGGTGGTGGTAATAATAGTACCCAGCAAAAAAAATTCTCAGGTTCTTCGATAGCTGTTTATGTTTGTGTTTATGTTTATGTTTATGCTTGCCTTAATGTTTATGTTTATGCTGGCATTAATTGTTATGCTTGCGTTAATGTTAATGTAAATGCTTGCGTTAATGTTTATGTTTGCGCTCATGTTTAGATTTATGCTTGTGCAAATGTTTGTGTTCATGCCTGGGTTATTGTTTATGCACGCGTTAACAGTTATGTTTCTGCTTGCCCTAATAGTTATGTTTATGCTTGCATACTGTGTATGTTTATGCTTGCCCTAATAGTTATGTTTATGCTTGCGTTGATCTTTAGGATATGCTTAGCTATTGATAGATAACATTTACAATCGTCATCCTCTTCCGCTTCTCCCTACCTCTATTTGGTCTCCCAGTGGAGCACAGGCACTCAGTAAACTCACGCCAAGGCGAACAATCCCTTTCGTCCATGGCTAACAAGCTCATTTCGTGTTCTCCTTAGATTCACTTTCGTTTTTAATTTCTTCTCAAATTTATGTCCTAAAGTTTATGTTGTCCTGTAGGTAGGGCCAGGCTGAGACCTATTATGCCGTAAGCACTTACAATATCCCCCCCCCCCATTCCCTTTTTTTTTTTTGGGGGGGGGGGTTGTCTTAACAGCTTTATTGACCTCCGAGCAAACCAATGTGCTGAGGCCCTATGACAACCACTGACAGGAATGAAATGTTAATGGTTACTTGACATGCATATATTAGCAAAGGGCTCCCGGGCAAGCGCACAGCAGGCCCATGTGTTAAGACGATACTGGGGCCCCATTGTGGTCGTAGTGGAAGTGGCGCTACAGAAGACGAGGTGGGACTAACATCAGCATTCAAGAATGAGATACAGAGCAAGATACAAAATGATCAAATGATAATTGAATATAAGACGTTTAAACAATTCTGCGGTACCTGGACAGGGCTGTGTGTTGCAGGCCTGCTTGTTTTCCTGTAGTCCTGTGCAGTTGGCACCGCCGTAGTAAGGACCTTGGCAGACTCTGGATCGTGACTGAATCCCACTGCCGCAGGTTAAAGAGCAGGTGCCCCAGCTTGACCAAGATGCCCACACGCCATCAACTGGTGGTATCATCGGTTGCCATCAGTAATCATCATGGATAATTAAACGAGCATTCGGCTTAACAGAAAACAACAAATATTTTCCATCTAACATCCTGACAGATAGGCTACGACATGCATTAAAAAAAAAAAAGAATGTACAGTACTGACAGTGTGCACATCAGACAGGACCACAAACACTGCAGTATTTTCACTAGGCCTGCCCTCTGTACTAATCACTACGAAAAAAAACCTGGCCTTATGAGCAAAGTGTACAGAGAAAGCTTTGGGGGAACCATGAAGGACCTGCTGCTGACAGAGCAAGCTATCGGGGAACCATGAAAGACCTGCTGCACGAAGGACCTCCTGCTGACAGAGCAAGCTATCGGGGAACCATGAAAGACCTGCTGCATGAAGGACCTGCTGCTGACAGAGCAAGCTATCGGGGAACCATGAAAGACCTGCTGCATGAAGGACCTGCTGCTGACAGAGCAAGCTATCGGGGAACCATGAAGGACCTGCTGCATGAAGGACCTGCTGACAGAGCATGCTAAGGACCATGCTGCTGACACAGAGCAAGCTATCGGGGAAAGACCTGCTGAAGGACCTGCTGACAGAGCAAGCTATCGAAAGACCTGCTGCATGAAGGACCTGCTGCTGACAGAGCAAGCTATCGGGGAACCATGAAGGACCTGCTGCATGAAGGACCTGCTGCTGACAGAGCAAGCTATCAGGGAACCATGAAGGACCTGCTGCTGACAGAGCAAGCTATCGGGGAACCATGAAGGACCTGCTGCATGAAGGACCTGCTGCTGACAGAGCAAGCTATCGGGGAACCAAGAAGACCTGCTGCTGAAAAAGCAAGCTATCGGGGAACCATGAAGGACCTGCTGCTGACAGAGCAAGCTATCAGGGAACCATGAAGGACCTGCTGCTGACAGAGCAAGCTATCAGGGAACCATGAAGGACCTGCTGCTGACAGAGCAAGCTATGGGGGAACCATAAAGTACCTGAAACTAACATGTGAATTTATAGAGGCAGCCGTCTTGACGGTTTGGCATGAGCATGCGAAACGGAAAGCCAGGATGAGAAAGACGAAGAAAAAAAAATATAAATGTTCTACCAACAGACACTCCATAAAGATTCTGAAAATACGAAAATTCGTCTCTTCTCGATGTCGTGTGGCACGAGCCATCGTGTCTGGTTCCCATCAATGGAAGTCGGTCTGATGCGATAATGTCAAAACTCACCAAAGAAACTGAATGTGTATTTTAGAAAGAAACAATATACATTATCTGACCATGTCATGAGAAGGAGGAAACGTGTACATCGGAACGATGGTACAGTTTGTGGGGGGAAAGTGGCAGAGGGGGTAGATGGAGCAGAATCTGGACAGTTTGACGTAATCGCATGGAAGATCATCTGTGTCAGAACTGGTCGAAAGTACAAGAGATAGAAGATTGTGGATAGACATGACTAACAACGTCACACGACAGAGACTATAAGAAGGAGACAGAAGGTTGTGGATAGACATGACTACCAACGTCACACGGCAGAGACTATAAGAAGGAGACAGAAGGTTGTGGATAGACATGACTACCAACGTCACACGGCAGAGACTATAAGAAGGAGTCAGAAGATTGTGGATAGACATGACTACCAACGTCACACGGCAGAGACTATAAGAAGGAGACAGAAGATTGTGGATAGACATGACTACCAACGTCACACGACAGAGACTATAAGAAGAAGACAAAAGGTTATGGATAGACATGACTACCAACGTCACACGACAGAGACTATAAGAAGAAGACAAAAGGTTATGGATAGACATGACTACCAACGTCACACGACATAGACTATAAGAAGGAGACAGAAGGTTGTGGATAGATATGACTAACAACATCACACGGCATGGACTATAAGAAGAAAAGTCTCATTCATTATAAATTAATGTTAGTTAATGGAGTCTCGGTCGTGTAGTGGCTAAACGCACACCTGCACGTCTTAGAATCTTGGTTCAAATCAAAAATTTCCTTTTTTTTTTCTTTGCAGAAATTGACCTCGGCTTTTAGGTAGACCCAGTCTAAAAGAATCCAGGTAAAGTCCTGAGAGGTAAAGGCGTTCGGTGTAAAACTGACTACATCACCCATCGAGTGCTGATTAATTTGTTAAAATAAAAGCATGAAAAAAAAAAGTGTTTGAAAAATGTTGGCTAAACATGGCATTGTCGTTTCACATATAACAATATCCATTCTACCTGGACAGTTCTGTTGATTGCAAGGTTCCGTTTCGCTGTAATTCCCCGTGCAGTTTTTGCCACCATATTGACCTAAATTGCATTGGCGGGTGCGTTCTCGAGTCCCTCCACCACACGTGAGGCTGCAGGCTGCCCAACTTTGCCATTCTTTCCAGAATCCGTCCACTGGACATTTGAATAAAGTATTCAGACATTTTAACAAAGATATCACACATGCACAGCCACACGCACACACGTACACACGTACACGCGTACACGCGTACACACGTACACACAGAACACTGAACTAGACATTGCATATTAGATTTGTTCTATCTATCTATCTATCTATCTATCTATCTATCTATCTATCTATCTATCTATCTATCTATCTATCTATCTATCTATCTATCTATCTATCTATCTATCTATCTATCTATCTATCTATCTATCTATCTATCTATCTATCTATCTATCTATCTATCTATCTATCTATCTATCTATCTATCTATCTATCTATCTATCTATCTATCTATCTATCTATCTATCTATCTATCTATCTATCTATCTATCTATCTATCTATCTCTGTCTGCCTGCCTGCCTGTCTGTCTGCCTGCCTGCCTGTCTGTCTGCCTGCCTGCCTGCCTGCCTGCCTGCCTGCCTGCCTGCCTGCCTGTCTGTCTGTCTGTCTGTCTGTAGGTCTGTCTGTCTGTCTGTCGGTCTGTTTGTCTGTCTGTAGGTCGGTCCGTCTGTCTGTCGGTTTGTCTGATATGTCTGTTTGTCTTTCTATCTTTCATTCGTTATGTCTCTTCCACATATACTTCCCACTAAACAAGTTTATATATTTCTACACAAGAAAATCCGAATCCTACATCCACATCTGTTACAGGTCTGTCACCTGGTATTTATAACATACATACTCATGACCTACTTACCGGGACAAGGTCTTGGGTTGCAAGCTTGGGTCTCGTTGCTGTTGCCCTCACAAGGTGCCCCAGAGTAGTAAGGCCCATCACAGGTCCGGTTCCTCCACTGCCAACCCAAGGCACAGGTCACTGAACACCTTGACCAGTCGGACCACTGGTTCCAGACACCAGCAACTGTGGGCCAAGAGTTCGCATCTGTTACCAACTTCTCAGATTTATCGACCCTTGTTGGAATATATCCCAAACGATTGGTGCGGAAAGGGGGAAGAGGGAGGGAGGGGGAGGGGGGGGGGAGTGACGAGAGGTTCTGGCTCAGACAAAAAGGCAGGTCGCACGTTTAATCAGAATGCTACTGGTACCATTAGTATTGGAAGTCTTTGCTGGCTGCTGAAGAGGGGGACGAAGCGCTTATGGGAATGCCCTGACTGCTGTGATGTCGGTTTTTAATCAACTCAACTTAACTCAATACTGCTGGATGAATTCAGTATCAACCAGTCATGGAGATTAGTGGCTAGGTGCCTGCCTGCTGCCGTGAAGGTGTAGGGTTCAAATCTCTATGAATACTGGATTCTTGTCAATGTCCCTTGGCTGCCTGTTTAGGTCAGCCTAAAATGGGTAGCGGACAATGCATGGGAAGTAAAGGTTGCCGGCATCGCACAGCAGATGTTTGTCTTTTGTGAGAAGGGTCCGTTTAATTTTTATTAATACACATTCCAAACTCCATCGACTGTTAGCTGGAAAACTGTTTATATGTTCCAGATCCCATAGACTATTGGTTAAATGTTCAGACATGTTTCAGAACTTCTCTACTTTTGGTTCGATGTTCGAACATGTTTCAGATCTCATCGACAACTGGTTAAATATTGAAACCTATCTCAGATTTCATCGACTATTGGGTAAATGTTAAAAAATGTTTCAGATTTCATCGACAACTGGTTAAATATATAAATACGTTTCAGATCTTAACGGTTATTGGGTAAATATTCAAACACGTTTCAGATCTCATCCATTAACGGTTGCATGTAATTATTCAAGAAACCATTCAAACAATTCTCAGTTACTTTTTTTCCCTAAGAGTTAAAGTCACACTTACTTGGACACATCGGCAGAGTACAAGGTGTATTCCCGAAGAGCTAAAGTCACACTTACTTAGGCACATCGGCAGACTACAAGGTTTATTCCCGAAGAGCTAAAGTCACACTTACTTAGGCACATCGGCAGACTACAAGGTTTATTCCTGAAGAGCTAAAGTCACACTTACTTGGGCACATCGGCAGACTACAAGGTTTATTTTCTAGATCCGGGCCCTTGCAGTTCTGCCCAGCATACATCCGTACTGGATGGTCACATTTGCGGGTTCGAGTCTGCGTGCCGTTCTCACAGGTAACGCTGCATCCGCTCCATTCCGACCATAGGCTCCAGACTCCGTTGACTACACAAATGAAGAGTTAAGCGAAGTGTTGAAAAAAGATGTAACAATCATTCATGTGATCTTTTAAAGCATTGCACAAGTTGGTTTTATTATTTTGAAGTTGTCACTGATGTTGTCTTTTCATCTTTTGAGTGATTTTCCCGTTGCCCTGTGTTCACTAAAATTTTTCTAACCTGGCTCTCTGTGGTAGCTGAGACCAGAGTATTGTCGTCAGCTGACCGAAACCATCTCGTCTATTGTTCTTTAACGAATTGTTTTGGCTTGTGTGAATCCTAGTGTTTTTCTAAAGTCTTTGTTTTCTATGTTTGTTACTTCCACAGTTCTTCTGGTTCAACAAATATATGTTGTTTTAATTCTCCGCCCAATAATTGTAGTACCAAGTAAATTCATGGGAAGTAGAGATGGTCGCCGTGATGCTGACCAAACCACCTACCTATTGGTCTATAGTCTATCAATTTTAAGTCCAGCCCTATATGCCCAAGACGCCTGAATGCATGGAAAAAGGTCCTTTACTTAACAGAAGTAATGACACAGATAGCATTATATCAGTCAAAACAATATTGCTTACGAGATTTGCCTTTGAAGGTTTATGACCAATTTTATTCCAATTTCTATACAGCACGTGCTTATAACTATCTTACATGTTTTCTTTTTCCAAAAACAAAACCTCTGGTATTTCAAGTGAGACATCCTAATAATGTTCTTTAACTTCTTAAATATTCAATATGCAGCGAAAAGACACTCATACCATTACACTGGACGCCTCCAGGGACAACTGAGCCATCAGAACAAACAGTATCCTGCATCCATGAGTTGTGTTGGCAAGCAGCCAGCGATCGTTCTGTGCCCACACAGTTGATAGAACTGAGACCAAACTGTCCGTTCCCTTTGCCGAAACGGCCATCCTTTACAGCTGTTGGGAACAGACCAACGTACAATGAAATTGTAATATCTGTTGAAGTACAACAATGGGAGCATTTCGAATTTCACAGCTGGCGGGAAAGGCAAAAACAATGTTCATGTTTAGAACCACAGCCGAAAGGAATCACAAGAGACCTGCAACTGACATGCGAATTCATAGAGGCAGTCCAGCTGACGATCTAACTTGGGAATACGAAACCAAACGCAAACAAGAAAAATAAACCACTGAAGAAATGCGGCTGTAGGTGGATGTGTAGTCAGCTAAAACACTACTGAATGATGCAAGTAATGAACGGTATCGCTATAGCAAACGTTTTTTTTTTTTTAAACCAGCCAATCTGGGGTTAATTTTGGAATAGTCCTGGCTAAAAAGTGAAATTAATCGCTTAATAGTGGGGTGTCGACATACACACTGCAATAGAGCTATTGCTACTAATTCTTCATCGTGGAGCGGCATCTAGTTGATTGAATTATCTTAGTACCAGACTCGGTTACACCTTCTTTCAATAATGGCAGTGGCAACCCCCGGAGTTTTGTCCTAGTCAACATTTCCCCAAATTCCTCCCTTAGTACATCCGGCGTGCCCCTCCCCCAACTGTGAATTACTCATATGTTATTTAGCACTTCGTGCCAGGACGTATCTCTTGGGGCTGTATCGTGCGCTTGAATCGGTCACGTTCTCTCTCCACAGTGAAGGCTTTATTGACATGGATAGCCAGCACCGTCTATCCTCATGGATCTCCAACACCGTCTCTCCTCCTGGATGTACACTCTCTCAGACTACTGTTCATCCATCTCTGGATATTATCCTGCCACTTGTCTCGCACAGTCAACAGCACTTGTTGACCCTACGGAACTCGATGCCGTGAGCTATCCGTCACCAGAGAGCTCTACCTAGTTTGTTGAGGAAGTACATGAAGGTTAAGATGACTGTAAAGTATTTGTACCACGAGCTGTATCTCAAGTGCTTCAAGAACACGTCTGTCCTCAGGTGCTTCAAGAACAAGTCTGTCCTCAAGTGCTTCAAGAACAAGTCTGTCCTCAAGTGCTTCAAGAACAAGTCTGTCCTCAAGTGCTTCAAGAACAAGTCTGTCCTCAAGTGCTTCAAGAACAACTCTGTCCTCAAGTGCTTCAAGAACATCCTTGTATTGATAGAGTCCATCCACACCACACACACACACAAAAGGATATAAACTCAGCTCTGTGAACCCTGGTATCGAGGCTAAATCTAGTAATCGAAAGGTTAAAGAGGTTCCTCGCACTAGCGAGGAGGGCGTTGCACCGACAAAAAGAGGAGTTGTAGAAAAACATGGAAGAACCCAAGAAATAATTACAAATATTAAAGGTTTGTTATTGGCGACAACAGCAACAAAAATGAACGAGTGGATATTTGAATCCTCAGATTAAAACAGTTCAAGTAAGATGTTGCAGAGCTCGAAGTATCTGGTATTACCTGCATATCCACCAGGCCAGCCTGCTTGTCTGCAAGCCAGGTCTGCGATGAATTTGGTCATCTGATTGGCACAGATCAGTGTCCATCTGTTTCGAATGTCATCGAGCAGCTCAATACGTCCTTCACCGGGGTTGACGCCTCCTTTGAGTGTGAGGAGACCTAAGTTAGAAAGACAACTGTGTAACTGGAAAGTGCGTCTTCGAACACGCTGTATCTACAGACATTGATATGTTTCTGTAGTAATTATGAGCTGCAGTTAAATGTGCAAAGACTTGATGCGTTATTCATTAAGGAGGGACTGTGCTTTATTAAGGCGTTAACGAGAAGAAGAAAAAGAAGTATTGTTTTTGACGACGGTTTGTAAGCAACGTTCAAAGTAAGCTTTATCAGGGCTTTGTAAATAATTTAATACCAAACAGTAAAATAAATAAACCACACACACAAACAAACAAAACGATGTACATCAGCCTTTGAACTTCTTGTTCTTTTGTCCCAATGTTTATGTCGTAAGGCGTCCCAAAGAGAAGCTAGATTTAGCATCTTGTCTTTGCTAATTTCTTAGTTTGTAGTAATGTCATATTGCGATTCTGTAGTGTCTTCTTTACTCCCTCCATCTACGGCTTTCTTGGTCGCCCTCTTGTCCTGCAGCCTGCTGTTTTCGTGGTTGTATATTGACAACATCGTCCATCAAGTGTCTATTATTGGTGTTAACAGCAACTAACCAACATGCCACATTGTATGCAAAGGGTATTTTACTGTTACTTGACTTGGACTGTATGCAATGAGACAGTCAAGTACTTCAGACTGTAAAACAAAACTATTCTCGGTGACAGGAGGTGGACGTCTTCACCCCAGTGGTGAGCTGTGCATATAACGACTGTAAACACCGCTTTTACCTGCCACTGCCAAAGAAAAATGCATTTTTTTACCATTTATTATTACTGTTTACTATTTATTATAAATAAGCCACAAGGTGTACGTCTCGCCGAGCACGCAACACTTGTTAAGAGTATTCACATAGCATTAGGATTCTATATCCCTGGAATTAGGCAGTGACGAAGTGTGATCGATTCGTTAGTACGAAACTGTTATCACGTGATATTTTCCTCCTCGTAGATTCACTGTTGAAAGAACGCGAACGCAGCTAGCATAGTTGAATTTGTAACTGGCAGCCTCCATGCGTTTCACATTCTTCACGAGTGACGTAAGCTCACACGTTGAGCATTCCTATCGCTATGTGATTAGTGATCAGTGATTGGAGATTAGAAAGGATTATCATCACAGCACTCTGGACAGATCCATAGGTGCTCTTGTACTGATGGACATGGGGGTGCAGCCTGGAGCTGCAAGAAATGGACATTTCACTAAGGGGAAAAGACGTTTTATTAACCAACGCAGAACACGCGTCATCAGTCGTTTTACACTTGTGGAGCTTTTGAGGAGGAGATCGGAGTACCCATGGATCTCTCTGGAGTGATGTGATATTCCTTTCTAATCACTAATTACATAGCGATAGTCAGTCGTAAAAAACTGAAACGAGTGGAGGCTGTCAGTTACAAATGCAACTATGCTAGCTGTATTCGTATTCTTTCAACAGCAAATCGACGTGAAGGAAAATATCACGTGATTACTTTTTTGTACTAACGAATCGATCACACTTTGCCACTGCTTAATTCCTAAGCCAAACCGGCGCTGAGAAAGAAAATGAGGACAACTTACCAACGCAGGCTACACTGTAACATGGAGCAGTTTTTTGGCTGGAGCCTAGGCAGTATCTGTCTACACCCGGCGTGCCTTGGTTACTGCAAGACCGACTTCTTACCTTGGTGCCTTGTCCACAGGATGTGTGGGCCGAGCACTCCCCCCATGCTCCCAAGGCTCCCAGACTGTCAGAAATAAATCACCAATTTAATCATCTTCGGTAAATGCTAATAGCAATCATAATTAATATAAAATGTTTCGACTGACGTCTTTATCCACACAAAAATGGGGGGGGGGGGGGAGGAATCACAGATACTAGATCCTACACGGGGAGCTCAAGTCAAGAACTTGAAAGAATATATGAAAGCAGTGGGAATACGAAGAGCCATTACGAAACGAAACATTAATTATAAATAATGATGATTATAATAATAATAATTATTATTATTATTACTATTTCACTTGTGAATCCTGGGTTTAAGTTTTGGGGAAAAGGATAGACCCAATGTCTCCCTAGAAAGCGACGTGTATCCGCTTGAGTAACAGTCGACATTCAAATAAACCATATCTGTAAATGGGATTGTGCACAAAATTTAATTTGTGGAACAAGAACTAAGTCAAAATATGGACGAACAACCAGAACTTTCCGTCGGAGTTTAAAGCTGGGGAGCCCTAAGAAGATAATAATAACAATAATAATAGCTCTTCGTTCGAGGAATTCAAATAATATTAGTAATAATAATAATTACATTTGAGATTACCACATTATACAAAATACCAGCCAATGATGTCTGTTGGCCAAATCAAAGTTGAAGGCATATTTTAATTTACCTGGACAATTTTGGAGCTCACAGACTGCAAATTCTTGTGCATACCCGTAACATAGGGTAGGGTTGACGGTCTGCAGGGTGTTGGAATCCTGGCACTCTCGTTTCCTCACTTGCCACCCTCGCTGGCAGGTCACCGAGCAGCTAGTCCATTCCGTCCAGAGTGACCACTGCGGTCCGGCATCTACATAAAGCTAAAGGTCATTAGCGGTTGAAAATTTAAACATTCAGTCAAGCAAACAGCAAAAACCATGAAACTTATACATTATGGGTGGATGAAGATCAAATGAATGAACCATTGATTAAACTACATAGCTCCAGCAACGATCACATCGGTTTTTGTTTCGTTGCCGCCCCGGTGCAGGTTTCTATTTCCGCAGCTTCGACCGTTGACCTCACAAATCTGCATGAAGCCGTAAGCCCAAAGTTCTTCATCGATTACTTTGAAAAGTTCACACAATTAAAAAAAAAAGTTAAGGACCCTTTTCCACGCCTTTAGGCGTATAGGGCATATAGGGCTAGACCTATATTTTATATAGACCAATCGGCACAAGATGGGTGATGTGGTCAGCATTCCGCCGGTACCGACTTAGGGCTGGGTCGACCTGGGAGCGAGGTAATTTTTTTTTTTTTCAAAGTCCGGCTCCGCCACAAAGCGAACCCACGACCTTCCGATCCGTGGCGAGCGTCTAGCCGCTTCGCCACGGCGACTCCGTTCACACAATATTGCATCTGAATATGGGCGTTTTGTTTTATATAGGCGTGCCGCACAAAGCACGGTTACCATAGCTTTGATTTTGTGAGTTTTTTTTTTTTTTTTTTATGGGCACGACGAGTTATTGAATGAAAATATGGAAATTTACAGACTTGGGACCAAGAGATTAGTAATAAACGAGGACTTTCATCACTGCTTTCCGGAAAATATTTGGAATTGAGCTGTGCCGTTTACCGTTGCGGCCATTTCGTGAGAATACTGTATTTGTTTTATTTTTTTTCCCCATTGTTTTGTATTTTTCGTTTTTTTAAAATAAAATTCTTCCTGTTATTTTCCATTAGCTGTGAAATTGAGCTGTTTTGATTGCTATGGGTTTAACTGACATATTTCTTTAGTATTCTCCGATTTTTTTTTCCCTTTGTTTTTTAGTTAGTGCTTGTCCTTTTGGACTGTGTTGCAATTTTATATGTTTGTGTTAAAACTGTCTTCCTGTTTTTTTTTTTTTTTTTTCAGTGCTATCGATCTGCTTTAGTTCATCTATTCAATGCCTCGCAGAAAATCTAACTTTGGTCGTCGTACTCGCACACTGATGGCACTGAAAAAGAAGAAAGACAGGTATAACACGCAGTCTTATTGTTCGGGTAAATTGCACAATGGCGCGCGCACGCACACGCACACACACACACACACACACACACACAAAATGCTAGATTTTCTTGATTGATCATTGCAAGATGTGCGTAGAGACGTCAGCCATTTGGGAACGCATAAATATTGCTTGCAGGAGATTTCAGGCAAACATTACCTTAATTGATCGATCGACACCAGCTGATGAAATAAATGGTTGCCTGAAATACTGAACTTTATAGAGACTCGTAAAGACTTTGAAATGAAGTACAAATATGTTTCACCAGCTGCGTAACGATCCATTAGCGGAGATACTCTGACATCAATTGCTGGACAGTGGGAACGGAAAGGTGCCAGTTGATCTTACCTCGGAACGAATTTCATTGCCTCATAACCTCTGCAATTTGGTGACGTCAAAAGATAAACTGGGTGAAAAAGTGTTTCCCGATATTTTAATAAATTATAAGAATCACGACTGGCTGAGTGAACGAAGCTATTCTTTCTGCCGGGAATAAAGACGTCTACAAACTTAACAATTTTATTCAGTTTAAAATTCAAAGCGAGGCAGTCACCCAGCATGGATCGAAGAGGATAAGACACACCCAACAGTTGATGATGCGTCATGTACAACAAGTTTTGCCTCAGAGAGCATATTACCTGCAAGGCTGCACGCAGTACCAGTCCATCCATCGTCGCACAAACACATAGCCACCAAAGTACCGGCTGCTGATCGTGTTTCAAGGCAACGTCCGTGGCCGTTACAGGGATCCCCAGCGCAGGGTCCTAGAGCAGCCTGGAATGTTCGAGAACAACTTGATGTGAATGTCCAAGAGGAGATTCGCCGTGTGACGGGCTCTGTGGTCCCAGGTTTGGGGGAAATGAGCATTTTCCCGTCCCCACAAGAAGCATCTCTTGTTGTCTCTTCTTGATGTACATTGTGCTCTATACGTCTTCCCCTTCTTTTGAGGAGTTGAGTTGAGTCAAGAATTGACATCACAGCACTGGGGGCATTCCCATGCGTGCTCTGTCCTCATCTTCAGCAGCCAGCGCAGAGTTTCAATACTGTGATGGTTACAAGAGCACACTCTTACACGGTTGAACACCAGCCGTTCCGTTTGTCGCCTTCTCCTCTCCATTCTCTTTATACTGCTCGCTGAAAATGACCGCAAGCTCAGAGACGTACTCCGTAGCTCCGACCATGAATCTTACAAAATCTATTTTTATAAATGCCCAGTATGGCATGGCATCATTTTTTTGATGAATGTCCTATATGGCATGGCATCACAAGGCATTCTCTCCAAGTGGCCGAGCCATTTTCGCTTCTTCTTCTTTTTTTTCTTCTTCTTCTTTTTCTTATAATTCTTATTATTATTATTATTATCTTTATTATTATTATTATTGGTTATACTGCGTTTCTTTAGTCTATTTGACTCCATCCACGCATCTCTTCTTTGTTTAGCCTCTTGCCATTTTGCACATTGTTTTCACAAACTGATAGATTTAGGATTTCCCCGCATATCAGCTGTCTGGTGTGTCGCGAGGTATTTTGAACGCATTATTGTGTATTAACCAATGCAGCATAGTATAAAACACTTTAGTTATGAAACTAGACTTCAGAAAGCTAATTGTTCTTCTTTAATATTCTGTACAGTGACACAGACAGTCCTTTCTACTGTGAGACTGCATGACATTAGGTGGACGACTCAATCACTATTCCGGCAAAAATTACAAACAAACCTACTTAGAAAATGTCATGCTTCGGCTGTATTGGCCAAGATAATGAACTGGACAAGAGACGTAAATCCTCCAGGTATAGTTCAAATCCCAATTTGTCTGAGGGTAGATCCGTGCGCCGGAAAGAGAGTGCCTTGAAAACGAGTCTGCAAGTAAGATCGACTGTTTGTGCTTTAAGACAGGGCATTCTATGAAGTCACGCAACTAACTGATCACACGTCTCATCTCATTCTCTTTTTTCTTGTTCTTATGCAATTAAATAAGGCTTAAGCCCTGTCTAGAGAACGTTATGGGAGCTCAGCCCACCCCACCCAGTCCATAATTGCTTACACTTGTCAATGCTTGCTTACATCTGTCCAAGTTTACTTACACTTGTCCATGTTTATTTACACTAGTCCATGTTTACTTACACTTGGCCATCTCGTTAGAATGCAGCAAGTTCAAATACTATCACAACCACTACATCTTAAAAGATCGGCTACAAGAGCAAGATGGCAGCTACAGAAAACATGGATCGATAACATTAAAGACACTCTACGCTTTCACGGCATGACAATAGCCAGTGGCAGCCAACGTGCACTGGACAGCAAATAAATTCTCCCCACGGCGCTTAATACCAGAATTAGTTTATGATGATGATAATGATGATGAAACACGTGAAAGATGCCGAAACTAGCTTACATGAATGTCATGAATGCTTTGATGTCGATTATTAATTCAACATTCAGATAATTAAACTATAGAATTGCTTCAACTCAGATAATAGAAGAACTCAGCGAATCAACCTACGGACTGGCAATAGAAGGAAAGGAGAACAAGCCTTACGAAGCTCAAGACTTCTTTGCCTTCAAAGAGATACTCGGCAGCGGCGTGGTGGCTGTAGTGTTCAGGGCTTACTTCAAGCCCACGGGCAAAGTTTACGCTGTCAAGTTCATCTCCAACTTAAAACAGAGCCGTCAATTCGTCTCCAGGGAGCTGACCATTTTGAAACTGTCATGCAACTGCAAGTAACTTGGGCTTGCTTGTCTGTTCTGTGGCTTCCTGCTTCTGGTTGTCTGTGTGTTCTTTTGTTAGATAAGTTGTTTGAGTTTGTGAAACCATTTTAGTTCGCTTTGTTTCTTTGTGATGACTTCACAAAGAATTTCAAACTCTCTCTCTCTCTCTCTCTCTCTCTCTCTCTCTCTCTCTCTCTCTCTCTCTCTCTCTAACTCTCTCTCTCTCTCTCTCTAACTTTCTCCCTCTTCTTTCTTATTGTCTGTTACTTTCTCATTTTCTATCTCTCTTCTTTCTCCCTAATGTTTCGCTCTTTCGTTTTATATATATATGGTGAAAAAATTAACAACATATTCATTCCAACATCAATCTACCAGCGCCAAATATGTACACTATCTAAATCCCACACATACAAAATTACTACCTGCAGGACGAGATACCTGGGGGTTGGGGGGAGGGGAGGGGAGCAATATTAATAAAAGAAAGGAGCTATCGACAAATTTGTGAGCACTTCTGTATTGTTTCAATAATTTATATTCTTTTCATTAGTAACCAAATCATTCCGAGACTCCTAAAAATGATCGTCTGTGAAAGCCACGAATGGCTCTTTGAAATTTAATTTGCTAGCCATCTACCGAGAGCCTTGCACAAAGCGCGAACAACATAGCTCCGGCGGTGACCCCCAAAGGTCGTCGTAACAATTATAGGCGTGAACCGAACAACGCAGTCAAAAAACGAACCTCTGACCCTCAAAATGTGAGGCAAACGGCTCCTCGACCACATTTGCCACAGAGACACTTTAATAAATAGTAACTGACGTTCAAATTAGTGTGATATATAATTGCGTCTACTTGTTAAAATCCATTCTAATGGGGATTCGAACACGTCACCTCGCGAGCAGGAGGCAAGCAAATATACTGCTAACCATTATGATATTACTACGCCCCGTATGTTATCATTGAAATAAAATATCTCGCTGTAGCTGAGTGGTACAAATCACACTAGACTTGTCATAAAGACTGTACCTGGTACAGTATCACATGCGATTTATCATAAAGACTGTACCTGGAAAAGTATCACATGCGATTTATCATAAAGACTGTACCTGGTAGAGTATCACATGCGATTTTTCATAAAGACTGTACCTGGTACAGTGTCACATGCGATTTATCATAAAGACTGTATCTGGAACAGTATCATACTCTATTTATCATAAATACTGCACCTGGTACTGTACCTGGTACAGCATCACACTCTATTTATCGTAAAGACTTACCTGGTACAGTATCAAACTCTGTTCATCATAAAGACTGTACCTGCTACAGTATCACACTCTATTTATCATAAAGACTGTACCTGGTACAGAATCACACTCTATTTATCAAAAATACTGTACCTGGTACAGTATCACATGTGATTTATCACAGAGACTGGATATATACATGCAGGTACCTGGTAAAGTATCACTACTTTGTTAAAGAGACTAAATACAGAGAATCTCCGTAGCCAACTTGTACAGCATCATTTTACCTTTATCACAGGAGTTGAACATATTCCCTACAGGTAACTGGTACCGTATTGTAATTTATCACAGAGACTGAACGTATCCGAAGCAGGTACCTGGTACAGTATCACGTGTACTTTATCACAGAGACTGAATGTATCCCCTACAGGTACCTGGTACAGTATCACGTGTACTTTATCACAGAGAATGAATGTATCCCCCACAGGTACCTGGTACAGTATCATTTGTACTTTATCACAGAGACTGAATGTATCCCCGGCAGGTACCTGGTACAGTATCACTCACACTTCAGGGTTGGTACCAACATGTACTTCGTCATCGAACTGTGCGATGGAGGCACGCTGGAGGAGCTTCTAGACCACAAGTTTTTGATGCCCCCACGCCTCGGCAGGTAACTCGTGTGTCTAACGTACATGGGACAGGCAGGGGGTCACAACCTGTTTTTGACCTCTGGGCTGTTGTTTACGTCTGGGCTGTTGTTGACCTCTGGACTGTTGTTGACCTCTGAGCTGTTGTTGACCTCTGGGATGTTGTTGACCTCTGAGCTGTTGTTGACCTCTGGGCTGTTGTTGACCTCTGAGTTGTTGTTGTTGTTGACCTCTGGGTTGTTGTTGACCTCTGAGCTGTTGTTGACCTCTGAGCTGTTGTTGACCTCTGAGCTGTTGTTGATCTCTGGGTTGTTGTTGACCTCTGGGTTGTTGTTGACCTCTGGGCTGTTGTTGACCTCTGGGCTGTTTTTGATCTCTGGGTTGTTGTTGTTGACCTCTGCGCTGTTGTTGACCTCTGGGCTGTTGTTGACCTCTGGGTTGTTGTTACTCAACGTCTGTAACTTGCGTGTTGCGAACGTACTTTGAAATTCCGCAATTCCCGGCCTAATGTCAGATGCAGGCGATTTGGCAGCAGAGAGCTCTGCGTTAATTTCGATAATGTAATAGAGAACCAATCATTCAAAAGCAATGACAAACTACTAACTGTAAAAAAGCACTACCAGCAGAAGACGGGAACTGGGCGCTTACTCGGTCGACATACTGTCTGGGAAATGCAGGAATGTGAGGCAATCAATGAACAGATTTTATGGCTGAAAAAAGCGATATCTACAGGAACATTCATATTTGACAAGAGCCCCATGTGATTTTCGGGCTCATGTTTTGAAGAACAAGAATAGACCTCCACAAGCATGTCGTCTAAGGCTACTAGTAGTTCCCTCTAAATCCGTGGTACGTCTGCCTGAGACGTGAAGAATCTCTCTATAAATAAGCTTAAACTTAGTATATTATTTAATTTTCTTAAAATCTTTCGTCCTTTCTGTTGTAGCATTTACCCAATCTATCTTATTATTATGTTATGAGAAGAGGGAAAAAAGAACATGTTGTGACTACTGGAAAGATCTGTGGAAGCAGAGATAGAGGAAGACAACGAGAGAAGATGCTTGACAGTCTTGTTGCATGGCATGGAGGTGTGTCGGCACACGAACTGACACATGCTGCAGAAGATCGCAGATTATGGAGAGGCATGATTGCCCACGCCAGTCGGCAAGGCACCTGATGATGAGGATGATCTTATTATGGATGGGAATCATCTACAGTCAGTGCATGGGGGGAGTTATGTTACCGCAATGGCAGAGAAGAACGATGTAAACTTGACAAGACACGGAAATCTCAATGATTGATGTGGTTGTTTGGTGGCTTTCAAGAACTCTCTTCTCTACTGAACTATTTTGGTTAAATCTGTCACTGCTGCCCAGATGAACATATCACGTGACTGGTGACCTCAGTAAAACATCTACATGATCGATAATGTACGACATCAACTATTTATCTGGGCTGAGAAACTACCTTCTCTTGCCGAGGCAGCCAGCAAGCTGCAAACGCGTTTTTAAAAATTCAGAAACCAGATTAACATCTCGAACAAGCCCCTCAGTGTGTGTGAGTGTGTGCGTGCGTGCGTTTTTGTGTGTGCATGTGCGTGCGTGTGTGTGTGTGTATGTGTGTGTGTGTGTGAGAGAGAGAGAGAGAGAGAGAGAGAGAGAGAGAGAGAGAATCATACTGAATTGAATATCAATTTTCAAAGCCTACTTATGAAAAGTTTAAGTTAACATTGCTGCATACAAAAACAAATTTACCACACAACAGTTATATTTAAGTACGAACAATTTACTACAAAACCTTTAACGAACTTTAGTAAAAAGGTTGTTGCGTATCCTCTAGAGGACGTTGCAGAACCAACCCTAACAGCCCCTGGCTGTTGTGTGGTTTCTCTAGGCAAATTTACGTCCAGTAGTTTGCCATTGCTTTCTGGACGGTCGGCTTTCTTAATACCACTTTCGAAACCAACGCAAGGCAGTAAGACAGATTAAAAACGCTTGATTAGATTCCCATGATGATATTTAATAAACTGCCCTAGATGGAATGGAGTGTGTGAATATATGTGTGTATTTGTGTGTTTGTGTGTGTGTGTGGGGGGGGGGTGGTTAAGAGTTGAGGGATAGCGTGTGTATTGACATGACCTCTACAAGACACAGCACGATGATGTTTATAAAGGTAATTCATTTTCTTCAAAAGCAAATGAGTTTAAAACATGAACACAATAACCGGTTCTTTTCTGTAAAGTCACAACATTATGCTAGATTTAGGGAAAACCAATAATATAGGGGGGTTTAGGGTTAATCGTAGTCGCTTTTCATTTAACACTATCCCTAACCCAAAACCCTCCCCCATACTATAGGATTTCCCTGCATCTGGCGTGATGTGGTGACTTAACAGACAAGAACCCAGTAATCCTACATACAATAATTAGTAATCCAAAAAAGTTTTACAACCCACAGGCTGAGAAGTATGGTCTTATTATGAATCACGACATGGTAGTGTAGTTGCATCTCGCATTTGTACAGAGATGTACTTTTCGTGTATCCTCTGCAACATACCTGGGAGAAATGTACTTTTCGTGTCTCCTCTAGAACATACCTGAGAGAACTGTACTTTTCGTGTCTCCTCTAGAACATACTCGAAAGAACTGTACTTTTCGTGTCTTCTCTAGAACATACCTGACAGGAACTGTACTTTTCGTGTCTTCTCTAGAACATATCTGAGAGGAACTGTACTTTTCGTGTCTCCTCTTGAACATACCTGAGAGAACTGTACTTTTCGTGTCTTCTCTAGAACATACCTGAGAGAACTGTACTTTTCGTGTCTTCTCTAGAACATACCTGAGAGGAACTGTACTTTTCGTGTCTTTTCTAGAACATACCTGAGAGGAACTGTACTTTTCGTGTCTTCTCTAGAAAATACCTGAGAGAACTGTACTTTTCGTGTCTTCTCTAGAACATACCTGAGAGAACTGTACATTTCGTGTCTCCTATAGAACATACCTGAGAGAACTGTACATTTCGTGTCACATCTAGAACATACCTGAGAGAACTGTACTTTTCGTGTCTTCTCTAGAACATACCTGAGAGAACTGTACATTTCTTGTCACCTCTAGAACATACCTGAGAGAACTGCACTTTTCGTGTCTCCTCTAGAACATACCTGAGAGAACTGTACTTTTCGTGTCACCTCTAGAACATACCTGAGAGAACTGTACTTTTCGTGTCACTTTAGAACATACCTGAGAGAACTGTACATTTCGTGTCACCTCTAGAACATACCTGAGCGAACTGTGCTTTTCCTGTCTCCTCTAGAACATACCTGAGAGAACTGTACCTTTCGTGTCATCTCTAGAACATACCTGAAAGAACTGTACTATTCGTGCAATCTCTAGAACATACCTGAGAGAACTGTACTTTTCGTGTCTCCTCTAGAACATACCTGAGAGAACTGTACTTTTCGTGTCTCCTCTAGAACATACCTGAGAGAACTGTAATTTTCGTGTCTCCTCTAGAACATACCTGAAAGAACTGTTCTTTTCGTGTCTCCTCTAGAACATACCTGAGAGAACTGGCTAGCGCCCTTATGTACTTGCACAGTTTGAAATTCGTTCACCGGGATGTACACGTGGCCAACTGTCTTCTTACAAGTACTGGTGAGTAGCTTCATACAAGTACTGGTGAGTTGATTGTTACAAGTACTGTGAGTTAATTGTTACAAGTACTGGTGAGTAGCTTCATACAAGTACTGGTGAGTTGATTGTTACAAGTACTGTGAGTTAATTGTTACAAGTACTGGTGAGTAGCTTCTTACAAGTACTGGTGAGTTGATTGTTACAAGTACTGGTGAGTTGCTTGTTACAAGTACTGGTGAGTTTTTTGCTACAAGTACTGGTGAGCAGCTTGTTACAAGTACTGGTGAGTTGATTGTTACAAGTACTGGTGAGTTGATTGTTACCAGTACTGGTGAGAAGCTTCTTACAAGTACTAGTGAGCAGCTTGTTATAAGTACTGGTGAGCAGCTTGTTACAAGTACTGGTGAGTAGCTTGTTACAAGTACTGGAAAGTAGCTTCTTACAAGTACTGGTGAGTTGATTGTTACAAGTGCTGGTGAGTAGCTTCTTACAAGTACTGGTGAGTAGCTTCTTACAAGTACTGGTGAGTAGCATGTTACAAGTACTGGTGAGTAGCATGTTACAAGTAGTGGTGAGTAGCATGTTACAAGTACTGGTGAGTAGCTTCTTACAAGTACTGGTGAGTAGCTTCTTACAAGTACTGGTGAGTATCTTGTTACAAGTACTGGTGAATATCTTGTTACAAGTACTGGTGAATATCTTGTTACAAGTACTGGTTAATAGCTTGTTACAAGTACTGGTGAATAGCTTGTTACAAGTACTGGTGAGTAGCTTGTTACAAGTACTGGTGAATAGCTTGTTACAAGTACTGGTGAGTAGCTTGTTACAAGTACTGGTGAGTAGCTTGTTACAAGTACTGGTGAGTAGCTTGTTACAAGTACTGGTGAGTAGCTTGTTACAAGTACTGGTGAATAGCTTGTTACAAGTACTGGTGAGTAGCTTGTTACAAGTACTGGTGAGTAGCTTGTTACAAGTACTGGTGAATAGCTTGTTACAAGTACTGGTGAGTAGCTTAATACAAGTACTGGTGAGTAGCTTAATACAAGTACTGGTGAGTAGCTTAATACAAGTACTGGTGAGTAGCTTAATACAAGTACTGGTGAGTAGCTTAATACAAGTACTGGTGAGTAGCTTAATACAAGTACTGGTGAATAGCTTGTTACAAGTATTGGTGAGTAGCTTAATACAAGTACTGGTGATTAGCTTAAAACAAGTACTGGTGAGTAGCTTAATACGAGTACTGGTGAATAGCTTGTTACAAGTACTGGTGAGTGGCTTAATACAAGTAGTGGTGATTAGCTTAATACAAGTACTGGTGAGTAGCTTAATACAAGTACTGGTGAATAGCTTGTTACAAGTACTGGTGAGTAGCTTGTTACAAGTACTGGTGAATAGCTTCTTACAAGTACTGGTGAGTAGCTTGTTACAAGTACTGGTGAATAGCTTCTTACAAGTACTGGTGAGCAGCTTGTTACAAGTACTGGTGAATAGCTTGTTACAAGTACTGGTGAATATCTTGTTACAAGTACTGGTGAATAGCTTGTTACAAGTACTGGTGAGTAGCTTAATACAAGTACTGGTGAGTAGCTTGTTAGAAGTACTGGTGAATAGCTTGTTTCAAGTACTGGTGAGTAGCTTGTTACAAGTACTGGTGAGTAGCTTGTTACAAGTACTGGTGAGTAGCTTGTTACAAGTACTGGTGAGTAGCTTGTTACAAGTACTGGTGAGTAGCTTGTTACAAGTACTGGTGAGTAGCTTGTTACAAGTACTGGTGAGTAGCTTGTTACAAGTACTGGTGAGTAGCATGTTACAGGTACTGGTGAATAGCTTGTTACAAGTACTGGTTAGTAGCATGTTACAAGTACTGGTGAGTAGCTTGTTACAAGTACTGATTAGTAGCATGTTACAAGTACTGGTGAGTAGCTTGTTACATGTACTGGTGATTAGCTTCTTACATGTACTGGTGATTAGCTTCTTACAAGTGCTGGTTATTAGCTTCTTACAACTACTGGTGAGTAGCTTCTTACAAGTACTGGTGATTAGCTTCTTACAAGTGCTGGTTATTAGCTTCTTACAAGTACTGGTGAGTAGCTTGTTACAAGTACTGGTGATTAGCTTCTTACAAGTACTGGTGAGTAGCTTGTTACAAGTACTGGTTATTAGCTTCTTACAAGTACTGGTGAGTAGCTTGTTACAAGTACTGGTGATTAGCTTCTTACAAGTACTGGTGAGTAGCTTGTTACAAGTACTGGTGATTAGCTTCTTACAAGTACTGGTGAGTAGCTTGTTACAAGTACTGGTGAGTAGCTTGTTACAAGTACTGGTGATTAGCTTCTTACAAGTACTGGTGAATAGCTTGTTACAAGTACTGGTGAGTAGCTTGTTAAAAGTGCTGGTTTTTAGATTTTAACAAGTACTGGTGATTAGTTTGTTACAAGTAATGGAACACATGAAGTGTGACGAGCAGGCTGGAGAGAACCGCGAGGGACCTGCAGGAAAGTGTGATGGGCAAGCTATAGAGAACCAGCAGGACCTGCAGGAAAGTGTGATGAGCAAGCTATAGAGAACCAGCAGGACCTGCAGGAAAGTGTGATGAGCAAGCTATAGAGAACCAGAAGGACTTGCAGGAAAGTGTGATGAGCAAGCTGTAGAGAACCAGGAGGCCCTGCAGGAAAGTGTGATGAGCAAGCTGTAGGGAACCTTGAGGGACCTGCAGGAAAGTATGACGAGCAAGCTATAAAGAACCGTGAGAGACCTGCAGGAAAGTGTGATGAGCAAGCTGTAGAGAACCGTGAGAGACCTGCAGGAAAGTGTGATGAGCAAGCTATAGAGAACCAGAAGGACTTGCAGGAAAGTGTGATGAGCAAGCTGTAGAGAACCAGGAGGACCTGCAGGAAAGTGTGATGAGCAAGCTGTAGGGAACCTTGAGGGACCTGCAGGAAAGTATGACGAGCAAGCTATAAAGAACCGTGAGAGACCTGCAGGAAAGTGTGATGAGCAAGCTGTAGAGAACCGTGAGGGACCTGCAGGAAAGTGTGATGAGCAAGCTGTAGAGAACCGTGAGAGACCTGCAGGAAAGTGTGACGAGCAAGCTATAGAGAACCAGGAGGACCTGCAGGAAAGTGTGATGAGCAAGCTGTAGAGAACCGTGAGAGACCTGCAGGAAAGTATGAAGAGCAAGCTATAGAGAACCGCGAGGGACCTGCAGGAAAGTGTGATGAGCAAGCTGTTTAGAGCCTAAAGGTGTGTTTCGGGAATTCCTTTCTTTGGCGAGCGTTTGAGAGACGGGTTAAAGGTGTTGGACTGAATCCCAACCATTATATAGAAATTACTACGCAGGACAGAAGGGACTGGAGGAACAGTCTGTCAGTCTTGTGTAAAACAACTATACAACATGATAATGATGATGATGATGATGATGAGAATGATGATGAAGATGATGATGATATTTGAGACTGTAGAAATAAATCACTCTGCAACATTATTTTATCAAACTTGGGATTGTCGGAATTAATAATTTTGCAACATTACTTCAGCACACCTGCGACTGTCGGACTTTGGTCTGACTCGGACCGTAGATGACCCTAATGGCGAGATGATGACCATCTGCGGCAAGGCAGCCATTCGAGCACCGGAGCTCTACCTGGACAAACTCTGCGGCTTCGGTCTGGACTGGTGGAGTATGGGGATCATGTTGTACCGGTTCGTCACCGGCTACTACCCGTTTCAAACGGAGAAACTGACCCAAGGGTAAGGACATTTCATTCTTGGCGACAAGCTAATACTTACAGGGTTTAATATGTGATGTTTGCGGGAATACACATTTCCACAAGTTCTATTCCTTAGTCTAAGGCTCTGTATTCTGAGTCGGTAGCAAGAGCGTAACATAATAATTCAATAACAGTCAGAGGCAGAAGATGACTTAGAAGAAGATGGATTGAAGAAGTAACTGTCAAATGAAACCTGCATGCAGTATACAGAAACAGGCCAAGCGCCTCCTATCCCGACTACCTTATATTTGTTAACCTGTGACGTCTAACGGCAGAAAACAGAAGTTGGCAGAAGAAGAAGAGGGTTGAAAGTAACCTGGTATGTTGTTGAAACTTCTCGTCTGGCTAGATGATAGTGTCATAATGTGCTATGTTTAGGTGTGGGAATCATAGCCCATGGCGATGGCGAATGTGACTAGCAAAACCCGCCAGCAATTATACAAAGTATTGCCCTTTGTATTGCCCAGTTACAGCCCGTGATATCAGGACCGCTGCTGTCCTCTAGCTTAGCTGCAAACCTATCTGCAACTATTTTCCCAGTTTATTCTTACTTTCTTCCTGGTGTTCCCCCTCCTTGCATCAGAGTCCGTGGGTTTTTGATACTATGAATCCAAGTCAATACCTTCATCATTCATGCCCCACTTACATGCTTGTTTTATGTCTTAGTAAAGGCGGGCCTCGACATCTTCTACAATTTCGTAATGCACCATAGAGGATGTCCTCATGGACTCTACCATCCTGCATTTTCTGATGCATTGCTTCAGAGGTAAAGGAGAGTAAGCGTCCTTTGGATATTTTCTCCGGGTTGTGTTGGTGTGTTAGAAAACGAGCAGATAGATAGATAGATAGACTGGCCGGTTTTGCACTATTTGGTGGTGAATTGATGTATAACAAGCTAGATGTTGTGAGGCCCCGTTTGGAGCTGGTGAACAGTGCAGAGGCACAAATAGATCATTACAGACTGAGGAGGATAGCGCTGCACGGGAGTTACCAGGAAATCTGCCAGACATTCAACACTCAAGGGAAAGATTAAACGGATATACAACCATAATGTTACTGGTGCCATCAGAATTGGAGCTCTTCGCTTGCTACTGAAGATGGGGGCGGAGCGCTTATGTATCGAGTGCTGTGATATCGATTTTTAATTCAACATACAATCCTCTAAGTGTGACCCAGCCACCGGATAAGGTTCCAAACATTCACGATGCTCATGTGTGAACTGGTTCAGATTTCAGTCGGTGACAAAGCTCAAGGAGAAGTACCCAGAGTGGCTGTTCGACGACCCGCATACAACTGACCTCTGCCAGAAACTTCTAGAGAAGGACCCCAAACAGAGGCTTGGCTATCAGAACGAAGCCGTGGAGATCAAGGTAAGCATACGTCGAAATGAGATCACTGAGGTAAAACTGTGAAAGTCTACACAAGATTAGAAGAACTTAAAGGATAAATTGTCGGCGTCTGTGGCTTAGTCATCGCGAACGCGCTTCGTAATGTCGGGGTGCCGGGTTCGATCCCAGCTGCGGACGATTTGTCTTGAGTTGGTTTCGACAGTGATACCGAGCGCTGACCGTTTAGAAAGCAATGGCAAACTATTGAACGTAAAATTAGCCTAGAAAAACCACGACAGCCAAAACATTATGGGGTTGGTTCTGTAACATCCTGTAAAGGATACGCAACTAACCTAAAGGATAAATTAGCTTTACATGACCATTTTCATTAGACAAACCCAATAGTCGTTTTAGTCAGTTTAGTTGTGCATATGTTTTGTTTATCGCTGTTGTTCAGCTGAAGAAAGTTAATCACCGCAACATCTTTTGTTTGTCTATTATAACTGGTCTTGTGCATTGGTATTTTGCGTGAGCAAACTTCAAGATTCTGCTGGCACTGAGGCATTTTTCATTTGTTTTCAAGTGGGACATTAAAGGGTGTGTGTAATGTCCGCTGGAAAAGAAAAGGATCGTTTATGGGGCGATCGATCTGCTGTGATGTTTGAAACTCCCACTAACGACTGCTAATGTAGACAAAGGAAGAATACAGAATAAGTAGTGATGTAAACAATAACACTATAATTGTCAAAAACGAAATGTCCTAACCATGGAAAAGTTATGAAAAGCAAAGAGATTGAACTTAGCAGCAAATTTATAGGTAATATTTTAAGTAAAGCAAAGAGATTGAATTTAGCAGCAAATTTATAGGTAATATTTCAAGTGAAGCAAAGGATAATTTTCACACAAACTGCTAGTCGGGATTATAGACCAATCGGCACGCGATGAGTGGCCTGTTCAGCATCACGTCAGCCGCCTTTACTTCCCAAAATGCTGGATACATATTTTAGGCTGGGCAGATGTAGGAAGCAATAACAATTATTTTAAAACTTCCCCTCGAATGCCTATTTGAACACACGACTTTTGAGTTGGCAGACAGGCGTCTATTAACAGCGCCACTGCGGAAAGGAAGATTTATCTCTTTGTCAGTTCCAGATGTCATGCCAAACATTTTTAAAAAATCTCTAACACAGTAACTGTTGGGGGTCAGTTGTTGACATTTGGCATGCAGCTTTTTAATCTTCATGTCCTTGTGAAAAAAAAAAAAAAAAAAGTTTTTTTTAAATTAAAAACAAAAAAAAAAATTTTTTTAATTTTGCTTTTTTTTTTTTTTTAAACTCATTCTGAAGCGCTTTACCCTCAGATGGTCATCTCCAGCATTACCCTTCCTGGAGTTGTGTTTTTCATTGTATGCGGGATAGGCTATCAAAATAAACGCCTCGCGTACCTGCACTTGTGAAATGATTTCTACATACTATGCGTGTTTCAATTATTTAGAATTATTTTTACAAGTATACACATTATTTGTCAAACAAAGATCAGACAAATTCGCCGCTTTAAGAAAATAGAAGCACCTGCGCAATTGTAAATTAGAAAATCATAAGGACAGGGTGAATTTTTTTTTTTTTTTTTATCACTGGCGACATTTTATGCTGCATATTACATGATCTGACAGCTTTTAAGGACCTCTAAAAAAATCAAGAACTGGCCCTAACCTCAACCGCAACCCCCACAGCCTCAGCCTATGTTTCACGAGTGCAGGATACGTTCTCTGGTTTCAGATTTATTAACATTTTACTTTAGGCCCTAAAAAGTCCTCATGCTGCAGTAAAGCACTGCTGCTCTCCTTGTCACTCGTCAGCGCTGACAGCTGAAGTAAATGCATGTCCTACTTGACTTCCGACAAAGCTATAATATACGCAATTTCGCCGGCTTCTGGCCCCAATCAGTACGCGATGCGCAATATTCACAGTTCAGAGCGTCAGACACAACACAGCGTGATACCCCTGTAACTTTGACTAGCGCATGTGAAAGGTTACGAAGCATGAATTAACGGCCAGTCACGGTGTGAGTGGGAGCGAAAAACGTTTGCTGTATTCTCATTTCATACGCTGAGACGCCTGTATTATTGAACTTTCCAGGTAATTTCCTATGAAATCTCGGATCCCCCGTGATGGGGTGAAATAAAAAAAATAAACCATGTTTTGTTTTCTGTCGTTACAGTCGCATCCGTACTTTTCCGGTATGAACTGGAACGTGGATGAAAACATTGAGAACGTTCTAGAACAAGACTTGAAGACGGTCTCCAAGCAATACATCCCAGTCTTCAAGAGAATCCTTCGCATCCTGGGCGCCCACAACCACCCTCTGCTCGGGGTCAGCGAGGGGACGCGAGACAGTGACATTTCCATCACCCAGATGCTGGCCAGAGACCTGGAGTCCCGCAACATTGCCAAGAAACTGACCGATTTCTTGTCGCTCTCAGCCGCACCCAACAGCGATATTTTGTCCAAGAAAAACCTAGCCAGTTCCATGCCTGGCTCAGGCGTCTGATTGATTTATATCTAGGATACTGTGTTCTATTATTCTTTATGACACATCAGCTCGCCCCCAATGACCCACTGGTAACTCTGTACCCATTCGAGGTGCCCTAATGCAACTGTACTTGATGGATAAATGGCTGAGTTGGGTTTCCGAGATTTGTAGTTGTGTATTTTTTCACTGTTTTTAAATATATTTTTGTCAAAATGAGGCATGAAGAGGCTTGTCAACTCATTGTTTCCCATAGGCACTTGTAACTGAAAAACGTCTTCATTGTCACTATCATCATCATTATTATCATTATCGAGCGCCTTGACAACTGACGTGGGCAGATATGCCTATCTACATTTTACGATCCCATGAATCATTTCATCTGCTAAAACTCCCCCTTGTCTGGACGGCTATCAATCTCAAGGTCTGTGTATATTAGGGTTCAGACCTTCATGAGTTAAAGTGATACAGTTAGAGAAAAGAGGTGGTCAAAGTATTAACTCAATCATAATGGGTTAATGTAACAGAAGTATACAGCAGAAGAGACTGAGAAATATTTACTATGTATAGAGTATTCAATGAATATGCAGTGATTAGTCTGTGAGTTAACGAGTTAAGATCAATACTGATGTACGGACGTGAATCGTGGAGATTCGCGTTATTGGGGAACTGTGGAGGCTGCACAGAGGTAGTTTTAAAGAAAGGTGTGAACAAAACACTGCGCATAATTGAAGACTTCATTTTCATCTTGATGGACCAAAATATATATATATATATGAACAGATTTACAGTCAGATATAAAGGCTAGAAGGTATGCAGGTATAAAGACAGAGATAAACGGACATAAAAGTAGCCAGAGGGACAGGTGAAAGGGCACAGAGAAACATAGACAGACAGACAGTGAGACAGACACACAATCAGACAGACAGTCAGGCGCAGACAGAGAGACATGCATGTATACTCGCAGACAGAAAAAAGAAAGACAGGCATCAACGAATGGAGCACATATAGGAACAGAGGAGCAGTTAGACAGATACACTGGTAGACACACGCACACACACACAATCCGACAGACTAACAGACAATGCGTGAATCGAACAGTCACCTCTCTAATCGTTATTAGTTGTTACAACAACTTATTATGTTGTTTATTTGATTACAGCACTGTATTATTTGTTCTTGTTTTCATCTTAAACGAACAATAATAATTTACATCACGTGTTGTCTTTCTAAAATTTATGATTTAATCACTGTAAATGTGCAGTTGAGAATCTAACAAGCCAACAATGGCACGTATCAACTGACCCCGATTTTGAAACATCGTCTATACCAGTGGAGATTTTTAAAAAAAGACAATTTATAAATGCATTTTTCATACCAACGTTGCGCTATGAGTGTCTGACGTGAACATTTACTGAAGAGCATGAAACAAAAAACTAATCATGTGCGAAATGAGATGTTTGAGAAAGACCTTGAACAAAGCTAGAAGAAATCATGGGAGAAATAAGATGTTTGAGAAAGACCTTGAACAAAGCTAGAAGAAATCATGGGAGAAATGAGATGTTTAAGAAAGACCTTGAACAAAGCCAGAAGAGATCACGTGAGAAACAAAGAAACTACTAGAACTTCCGGAACAACACACATAGCTAAATTCATTGAAAAGCAAAGAAAGAAATGGTTGGCAATTTGATAAAAATGAATCCAAAGCAAGAGAAGATGTTTCACATCCTTTGGTAAATGCATAAAAATGTGTACATACACGAACTTAAGCATGATATCGGACATCGCAAGATGTAGGAAAGTCTGATCGCCCGCGCCAGTCGGCAAGGTACGTGCTTACAGTACATATCATGACCAACCTTGTCAATGTAGAAAGCCCCTTTCGTGTGATATTCCTTGAACTGTTCGTTGAGGAAATCTGTCGGGAAGTCAAGGTGGGTGCCATTGTTCAGCTCACATTGCTTTGTGATGAGATCAAAGTTAGCAGATGAACATTTCGAGTGTTTCAAGCATTCAAAGGTGCAGTGGCCAGCCGATCGTTTGGGTTGCAACGTCTGTGGAATGGATGAGCCGAATGATAGTGAAAACAAATGAAGAAACATAAGTGAAGTGTTTCTACCATCATAGCTGTCTATACATTCTCAAGAAACTGGATGTGAACCACACACACAAAACTGTCTTTTTTCGTGATTACTTTTCCAACCACCAACCCCTCCTTGTTGGTACCTTTCTTGTCCTGCCTTTCATCTACAAATCAGGCATACCCTTAACTCTTTCACAACAAAACAGCTCACCGTACGCTTTTTTCTTTATAGTTACCGGGCGAGGAAATCTTTTCCTAGCTGCTTGTACTGTATTCAGCTTCAGGCAATTTTACTCAGATTGTTTCTTTATCTCATCTCATTGTTACTTCATATCGTGCCATTGTTACTTCATTTCATCTCATTGTTACTTTATCTCATTGTTACTTCATCTCGTCTCATTGTTACTTTATCTCATCTCTTCTTGTTCATTCTCTTCTACTTTGCGATGTCGAGGTGAGGTTTAACAACCGGGAAAGAGCCCGTTTGTGAGCTTCGTAAATTGGGATTCCTAGGAACTCTGAAATTCTCTCTTTCCATGACTTGCACGGTTAGCCTTTTTTTCGCTTCCTGTCTGGTCTGTACATTATTGTTTGCTGTGGTATACAGTCTGCTGTCATTACATAACCAAATCATTTTACCTGTTGTATTTTAATGAAATCCACAGCTGCTTCTACTCCCATTTTCTTTAGGATTTCATCGTTTGTAATCTCATCTCTTCCTGTCATAGCCAGAGCTTTTCCTTGGAATCTCATCTCTTACTGTTATAGCCAGAGCTTTTCGTGGGAATATCATGTCTTTCTGTTATAGCCAGAGCTTTTCGTGGGAATATCATGTCTTACTGTTATAGCCAGAGCATTTCGTTGGAATCTCATGACTAACTGTTATAACCAGAGGTTTTCGTGGGGATATCATGTCTTACTGTTATAGCCAGAGCTTTTCGTGGGAATATCATGTCTTACTGTTATAGCCAGAGCTTTTCGTGGGAATCTCAGCTCTTACTGTTATAGCCAGAGCTTTTCGTGGGAATCTCAGCTCTTATTGTTATAGCCAGAGCTTTTCGTGGGAATATCATGTCTTACTGTTATAGCCAGAGCTTTTCGTGGGAATATCATTTCAGTTGTAATTTCTCTTTCTCTTTTCCTGTCGTTACTTCAGTTCAGTTTTTTTTTTTTTTTTTTTGCGCAATTGTTTGAGCTCCTTCAGATCTAAACACCTGCTACTTTATGCAATACCTACTTATTCGATATGGAATATGGCGTTAACAAACAGATGTTGGCACTGAAAGAATCTCAATGATCAGCCCAGGAAAATAGGAGATGGAACGGATCTGAAGACAGAGCCTGGAGTCTCTAAGGTGTTCGGGGCTGACATATATGAGTTTCAAATTCGTGTCAGGTCATGCAGGCGTGCAAGGAAATGAACAAGCTGATTGGCTTGCAGGTAAAGCTGCTACGGCAGGTGCATGTTCAATGGACTAGGCTTATATTCTGACTGCTCTACAAGAAGTGTGACGTTTGCAAGAACCAGGCTATGACTGTGAAACCGTAACAACGACCAGACGGCTAGAACAGCATGTTGAAAGTGGTTAAGAGAATAAGAGTAGGGTCGTTAGCCACTACATCAGTTGGTTGGTTAGTTGCGTATCCTTTACAGGACGTTGCAGAGCCAACCCCAACAGCCCCTGGCTGTTGTGTGATTTTTCTAGGCAAATTTACGTCCAGTAGTTTGCCATTACCCTCTGAACGGTCGGCTTTCTTGATACCACTGTCGAAACCAACGCAAAGCGCATGGCCCGCAGCTGGGATCGAACCTGGCATCCCGGCATTACGAAGCGTTCGCATCGACTTAGCCACAGAGCCGACTAACTGCTACATACTAGGGAATTTAATGAGGATAGCATACTGTTGACTGTTTAATGAGTCTTTTAAGGGGATAAAGGTCAAGCAACGCACAATCAGTCAAACCAATTCATCATCATCATTATCACGTAACACTGCGTGTCTTGGGTAAAGTGAAGTAAAAGTAAAGATCCCTTTTCGTGCCTTATGCGATTCAGGTATATGGGAAAGGCGCCCATATTTTTACAGACCGTCGGCACTGGGTGGGTAATGTGGTCAGCATTACGCCGGCCGTTTTTACTTTTCCTAGACAGCCATCCTGGTACCCACTTTAGGCTGGGTCGACCTGCCACGCCCCAAAACACGATAAAAATCCACGCAGCCAGCAATGGGTTTCGATCGTGGTACGTTGTAATTACGAGTTGGACTCCCATCGCCTAGGCCACGGACACCGTGTGTCATTGGGTCACTAGTTGCATTTGTCTGATCAACTCCCTGCACCTTTGACGGTCAGTTAATCCATCAACTGGAATCATTAAAATGTTATGTTTGCACCGAAACAAAGATATGAGCTGATCAGTTCTGTCACTTAGTCAGATGTCGCCTAGAAGATCGACATCTTTTGCGAGTAAGTCATTGACGACATCTTTCGACTACAAAAATAAACAACAATAAATACACTGTCCAACAAATAAACAAAGAAACAAAAATGCAGTTAACCGATGGCGCTTTCCTACTTTAAAAAAAAAAAACGCATAGCTACTGACAAAAATCTAATTTAGCCATAATTTTGCAATTTAAAATCTCAAGTAATTTAATATGTGAAATTGTTCAAATTGCCCACCAAAATACCGTAGGGTTGAACCAATCAATGGACAGTTCTTTTGCTTCTGGGTCTTTGATAGTTTTTAGGCCTACGGGCTTTCCCCACAACTAATAAAAACACGCTATGGGATAGCGACGCGTTTCTTCTTTCAAACAGTATAGAATGCAAACCAGACTGGCAATGGAAGCCGTGAGCGATTCCATTGAGCAGTGGCTGACAAGCTATTACAAACTAGGACAGCCGTGATGGATTAGATATCCTGAGAGCGACGAG